CATTTAAATCTTTACAACCTCAATCTACAAAATATTTCCTTTCGTTTTAAATTTATGATATATTTCTAACATATAAAATGGCGAATTTCAGTTATTAGGCTACCAAATGTCAAAATGTTTAATCGGCCAAATTTTCTTATAATCCCCAGCTGTAATTGGAATTCGTGTCGTCTGCTGGAATATATTCCAGTGAAGACAAACTAGCGGATTCCATGTCGCCAGAAAAATTCTATGGAACAAAATGTAGGCCATATTATGTTGTTTCAATGAAATGTAGCAATAAACTCTTAACGTTTTACTTATCTTATTTTCAGTCACTATTTTTTTTTCTTCAAATCATTGTTCTGAAAGAATTGTCATTAGTTATAATGAATTATTATTAAAGATAAATACTAAGAAATGATAATTATACCACTGGGTATCCATACAACCTGTTTTTCTCGACTTATCTATGGGCTATAGTTAAAACAATTTACACGAAAATAGGGGACGCATTTTGCTAAGTTGGTTACTCATGAAATTGACCTTTAAACTAAAGCTAAGATTCCATACGCGTCATGCGGATCCGTCGTGCGTCATCCGCCTTGCGTTAAAAATCGAAATGGTTGGTTTAGGAGGGTATGATTCCATATATGCGGAAGCGGTATCCGTCAAATGGTCTCCGTCATGCGTCAAAAAAAAATAATCGCCGGGTGTAGCGATTTTTATAGGCCCATATCTCTCTATGTGGACGTATATTGTCGGCACCCCCGTCCGTCCGTTCATCCGTCAACATTTGCTTGTAAACGCTCTAAAAACTAGATTTTTTGATGGAATCAAACGAAATTCAGTATGTGTATACATGTTCATAAAACGAAGATCAAGTTCGAATTTGAGCTATTTTCGACCGTTAGAAGCAGAGTTATTGCCCTTGCCCCAAAATCTTGAATATGCTATTACTCTCTTACTTTTCAAACGATTTTGATGAAACTTAAAATGGGTGATTCGTTTTTACCATCCGCATGCCGTGGCGGGCGTATATGGCTGTGATCCACTATCTTTGACGCATCCGAACGCCTTTCCGCGCGTAGATCTCCCAAATGTGACGTATTTTGTGGGGATTCCCTGTCTTTTTTATGCACCAAAGCATCCATCTGTCTAGAAGTTCGTGCGTCAAAAGAAACATAACGCATATGTTTAACGCACATATGGAATCATATTTGACGCATGACAGAGCCGCAAGTACCATTTGATGAAGTTAGGCCTACGTCCTTGAAAATAGAGGACTTTCTTTTATTGTCAGCGGAGGCAGTCATATTCCCTATAGATATCAAATTTCGCATTTGTAGAGCCCAGCTAATTTAATCGAAATTGCACCAAATCGTACTTGCAAATCGAAATCATATCAAATCGACCGACAAAAAAAAACCAAACTCATATTAGGCTAATATAAATGTATGCCTATAAGAAAAAAACGAACATATGTTATAGTTGTAATAATGTCGTTTATCACGATATTATCGGGATATCTGGTAATCGCGATTTTTTATTTGACACTATAGGCCTAGCTAAAATAAAAGTTGACAAACCTTATCAATTATTTCTAAATTTAGTTGATAATTTTATGCCGATAATATTCCGAAACACTTAGCCTAATATGAAAATTCAGTTCTGACATAGGCCAAAATAGTAGCCTAGTTGATTGTTTGTAGGGGCAAGTAATATTATCTGGAGGGGCAATGGTGTAAAATGTTGTTTTGTTGAAGTAATTGAATGGGTCGGTTGCCAGAATTTTTTTTGGGTTGTGGGTGGGTCTCCTTCGCCGTTTGTAGTTACGGGCCTGGTTATTCGCTTACACTTAGACCGAAACATCTGTCTCTGTTCCAGCCTCTGGTAGCTATTTGGACAGATGTCAGCTGGTGTAGAGACAGAAATGATAAGTGCGGGGTTTTAAACCTATTTATAGATACCTCGGATCTGTAAAACCAAGGTATATTAGGAAAGATGACCATCATTTTCTCCCTACACCATTTATGTCATGTCTCCGGTTCAATCATTTTCTTTTTTTTACGAAACTGATCTAGCATCAGCCATTTAAAACTGCGTGCACAGCCAAAAGTGAAAGATACTAACAAAACGAAAGTTACGGTGATGCCCAACACTAATATACAATCGTCTTAAAGCATCTTTGTATGTGTGGAAAATCATTTCGACTCCAACTGACAACTGCCAAAATATCCATCAGAAGCTGGAATAGAGGCAGTTGTTTCGGACTAGCTTATACTGTGAGTGTGCTTTCCGATTAGATTTGGTTGGATTACATGCTCGCGAATACAGCCAATCAGAGTTTGCGACAGAAAGTCAACAAAGCCAAAATGTTTACAGTCTGTCAAGGGCTGTGATTGGCTTTTTCCGCTAACGTAGGGTACAATTTAATTATATTTGTAGTCAAGGTATAAGACGAAGTTATGATCCTTGAACGACGCCTATATCGGCTACTTCGTTTTGGAAGGTTACCAACCCGACAGTCAACACCCAGTTGATTCAGAGTACCAACAAGCACGAGAACTCAGTAGGAGCAAGAGCTCACGCATGGCATGGCTATCCGTCAATTACACTGAGCATGCCGCAATTTTATCCGACTCTCTAAGCTGTCTCCAATCTATTTCTCTCACCTCTTCTAATTGTAGGTCAGAAATTATCATCGAAATACTAAGAATGATCCGCAACTACCAAACCAACAACAACCACAAGATCGAACTATAGTGAGTTATGTAGCCTACATAGCTATGGTAATATAATATTATATTGGTGCCTAACAAGCTGAGTTTGATAAGTACGGAAGCGTATTAGGGCCATTCATTTTTTTTATTTGCATTTTCAAGTTAGTAACTTGAATTTTCAAGTTAGTATGTTGATTTTTAAAGTTAGTAACTTGAATTTTCAACTTGAAAATTCAAGATACTAACTTGAAAATACAAGTAACTAACTTGAAAATACGAGTTACTAACTTGAAATTCAACATACAAACTTGAAAATTAAAAAAAAAAAAAAAAATTAATGGCCCTAATACGCTTTCGTAGATAAGCCCTATATTTTCACTAATTTAATGGAATTATAAATCGATACTAGGCCTATATCATGCTATCAGTGTCTCCGATACACATAAAAAGTTAAGAAAACCTCTTTACAATCCCTTCAAAGGTTCATTCACATATCTTCGTAGGAGTACATAGACTAGTTAAGCATTGCCAAGTTGTTTCTATATTTTTTTCCTTAATGAGCTTGAATACAAATGAAAAGAGCAGTATCTACCAAATTTAACATTTTGAGTTGTAAAGCTCTTTTCACGTTCTATCATTTGCAATTAGCCTATGTTTCAGGCGCTACATTGTGTTTCTGATTTTGACAAGATATCATTTGTTGGTAATAACTGCGATTTGCGAAACGTTCATCGAAACTAAATAAAATGCATATAAAAAAATATAAATGTTTGACCTTGCAAATTTGACAATCAAGGTCACTTGTTGGTAATGAAATATTTTACCGATTCACTTTGGTAGTCAAGAGAATTAATTGGAATTATGCGTTGTTGGTCTAGAGACGTCAAATTTATGACTAGCACTACATGGTCAGTAAAAACAAATTGTATGCGTTGGTTTACTTTCTAAATTACTTTTGAAAGGGACAGAAATGGGTATTATTTAGTTTAGCTAGTCAAGTAGGCTTAAATTAGAACCTTATAAAATGCACGTGTTTCCTGAGACTGTCCTACAGAAAAGACATTCAAAGAAATTGAAAGTGAAATTCCTAATTTGAGGTATTTTATTTTGTGCAACTTGCCCATCACTAGGCCTATTTGATAGGCCTACCGGTGCTAAAGGAACATGCAGATCCCTAGGCCTTTATCCGTCTTGCCTTAATGTGCAGACCCCAGATAACTGATAATCCTCAATCCGCTGCAGTTAAAAAAAAATATTATAGCTAATCGACATATAGTCCCAGTTCAAATTTATAGGTCTATATGCGCCTAAATGAAGCACCGCATCATACCATAGGCCTATACCTATACCTATATATAGGCCTATATTGCATTTTTTTTAATTGAATAATTGCAAGGCATATTCAAAATTAAGGCTCAAAGTTGGAATTTGAGTGGTTCCATATTGGCAAATGAAAATTCGGGAAAAAATTATCAAAAATTTTTTCAAAGGATTTCAAACATAGATGAAAACTATTATGGGATGGATAAATCCAATAGATGACGTCACAAAACGCATGCGCTTTGAGGTAGAAGCCTTGCGCTAACTACTGCATTTAGGGGTCGGGCGTGCTTTCATTTCCGAGAATAATTTGTCTAGGTTGTGACATATTATACAAAATTAACTTTTTTCATACACTTAGTGGAATACTTTTTAAAACATCAGTTCCGTCTTAGCCTAATTGACGGCAGGAGGTCGAAAAGAGGAACATGCAGATCCATAGGCCTTATCCGTCTTGCCTTAATGCGCAGATCCCAGATAACTGATCATCCTCAAACTGCTGCAGATAAAAAAAAATATTATAGCTAATAGATGTATGGTCCCAGTTCAAATTTATAGGTCTGTATGCGCCTAAATGAAGCACCGCATCATGCCATAGGCCAATGCCTATTTTACATTTTTCTTAAATTGAATAATTGCAAGGCATATTCAAAATTAAGGCCCAAAGTTGGAATTTTAGTGGTTCCATATCGGTAAATGAAAATTCGGGAAAAAATCTGAAAAAAAAATTATCAACTATTTTTTTCAAAGGTTTTATAACATAGATGAAGACTATTATGGGATGGATAAATCCAATAGATGACGTCACAAAACGCATGCGCTTTGAGGTAGAAGCCTTGCGCCAACTACTGCATTTGGGGGTCGGGCGTGCTTTCATTTCCGAGAATAATTTGTCTAGGTTGTGACATATTATACAAAATTAACTTTTTTCATATACTTAGTGGAATACTTTTTTAAACATCAGTGCCGTCTTAATTGATGGCAGGAGGTCGAAAAGACGAAGAAGACAACGACAGCATGGACTACGAAGAACAGGAAGGTATCACAAAAGAATCGGATTTATTACTTTTTAGGTCAAATTGGTCCAATTGCCAACTATGCCAAATGATATTCTTCACTTCTCTAAGGCACTACGTCCAATGGTATATTCATTTCTATGTTTTTTACTTACAAATGTCTAATCAGATCGAGGAATTACCTTGAAGCTGGGGAAAGATATAGTTTGCTATGAAATTTTACAGTTTTGTTTGGGAATTCCGTCTCATACGTCTTTGTTAATTTGCATATCGAACACCGGGCTTAATTGGGGTTTTCCCTTGTTTTCCTATTATTGATCAATTTATTCTATTGATGGGTGTTAAACATTCGATTAGAATGTTTGTTTACAACTTTGGAAGAAGAATTGAGAACATTTTTTGTCCGAATTATGCTTTATGTAGTTGAAACAACAATACATTATTTCAATTATATCATTGTCTACGCATGTCCGAAGAGCTCTTAGTAGGTCAAATCTGCACGTGGGTGCTACCATCAACCATAACAAACAGTGAAATGTCAAATAAGATGTCTTTTTAGGTTGTATTTTTATTATAAAGGATTATGATTTATTTAAGTATGTTAGATCAAGTCAGAGGTGGTGGGTATGAGTTTGTCTGACATGTCAAGATGTCAAAATATTAAATAATGTTGACATCCAAGCAGATCTTACATTTGCGAGAAGCTGTAAATTTTTTATTTTGGACATTAAAATTTCTTGGGGGTGTTTGTAAAAGCTAGGAATAATGACAGTCATTACTCCAGGGTGTAAGTGAAAACTTATTATATTTTATCAATGCAAAATGATTTTAAGAATCAGTTCGGTTTTGAAGTTTAAATTCCGAATGACATAATTGATGCGTATTTACACTGAGATTGGGGCCCTCATGTAGTTACAGAAAAAAGGGAATTAAAAATATTGATATTATTTCAGACAAAGATTATTATGTTCCTAATGTAATGACAACAGGGGCAGGGCTATCACAGGCTCTATATCCCCGTAAGTAATAATATATGTATCAAGATATATATTGCTTATGTTGTTATTATTGTTATCATCAAGGCTTATAGTCATCATGGCTGTGTTAACTACAACATCATTGTCCTGGTTTTTATTCCTGCTTTATTCTGCACATTTGCCTGGGTTGCATTGTGGATATCATTTCTAAAGTTATTTGTGTGAACTTACCCTTCTCACCATCATTGTATTATATGATAGATTCATTATAAATATTTGTCAGCATCACAATATTTGCAGATATTCAGATATTTGTTAGCATCACAGTCATGGCAGATATTTATTAACTTCACAATCATTACAGATATTTGTTAGCATTATAATCATTACAGATAATTGTTAGAATCAGTCATTACAGATATTTCATAGTATCACACAAATTACTGATTATTGTCATCACAATCATAACAGATCTTGGTTAGCATCACAATCATTACTAATTATTGTCATCACAATCACTATGCATTAATGTACTCATCATCAAGGTCAATATAGGTCATTGTCATTACATGTCAGAATCATAATCGTTACTATTATCATGATCATTATGGAGTAAGCTTATGCATTTCACAACTATGGTGACCCATCTGTTTTCAGAAGGAAATGAATGAAGTTTCTGGGTTTTTTGGGGTTTTTTGTTCTTTTCCTGTCTATTAATTTTTTTTATTTTTAAATTGATTTTTTTTTTTTCTTTTTTTTTTCTTTTTAATTAATTTTTATTTTATTTACTTTTTGTCTTTTTTTTTTAATGTAATTTTAGAAAAAAATTTTAAAGGGAACCTTGACTGACATAATCTGGGAGTAACTCGATTTTTAAAAAAATTCAAACTAGTGGCATCCTGCTGGATTTAGGTGTCCATGATAAAAAATCAAGGAACAGTTTTTCTCAATCTATATAGCTAATTGTTGTTTAATTTCTCAATCATTCATGTCGACTGGTTATTGACTTGACTGTAAACAGTGCAGACTAATTGTTTTGGACCTGGTCATTTAATAACAAGTGTGAGGTGCTCATGAAAATTATAAGGTCAGAAAATAAAATTTCACTTACTGCTTTGTCTCACTTGAAGCCTTTCAATAAAAGTTACTTATAAGTTGATTGGCTTGATATTAATATTGCTGATAGGCTTAGCCCACAAGTCACAAAAAGATAACGCAGCTAATGCAATGTAGAAGATACTGAGACGAAGATGTAAATGTAACTAGTGCAATGTAAAAGACGCAAAGACAATTATTATTCTTTGCTCAATGTACAATGTCGAAAGTGAAAGGACATTGCACATATCATTTTAGGTATTGTGTCGATGGTTTTATGTAATTTTACATTTGCATTATGAATTGCATTGCACAGATGTATTAGACATAAGTACATAGCATCTAATTCTGAATAGGATTGACCTCCATATGATATGACAACATGAACTACATGTATATTGGTTAGGTTTATTGTTTGGATTCCAAATCGTCATTCTCATTAGTCTATGTTTGGGAAAATCATACATATTTTTTTTTTTCTCATCTTGCATGCAGCCTATAATATATTGCCTGCTATGGATATTTTTCTCTTATTTTAAATATGACTGAAATTACGTAATCTTAATATTTTGATTTTACTTCATCATTTCAGAAATGTCTAAACTTTCCATTTATAAAAAGCAATCATTTTGACCATTTTTCAGGGACCTAAATTGCAGCAGGTCAATTAGAAAAAAAAAACTAATATAAACAATTAATTGTACCATGTTTATGTTGTTAGTATCAGAAAGTTATTACAAGAAATGTTATTTTTCTTTTAGATGAAAATGAAGAACTTTTAGGTGACGATTCTGAAAAGAAAAACAAGAAAAGGAAAGGCAAGGATGGTGAAAAGAAAAAGAAAAGAAAGTCAAAGAAAAAAAAGGATGCTGAATTTGAAGTAGGACACTATTCAAAAAAGCTTATATGTACAGGGAAATTTTCATATTTCTGGTTCTGTCGATAGCTGTTCTGGAAGTGATATTTGTGATTCTGCAGATGATTGTTATTTATTACTTATTGTCAAAGTAACGTGTCAATGAGTTGTTGATGATGAAGCATGTGCAAAAAACACCATCAGAATATTCCTTGGATGACAATGGTGGCTCATTGATATTGTGTCTATCTGCTTGCTATTTGTATATTGTAGAGTCACTTTTTGCTAATAGTTCATTTTTGTAATAATATATGTCAAAATATTTCATTTCATATTTAAATGATTATACTGGCTTCTTTTGAAGATACAACAAGATAGTGGTGCAGAAGGTTCTGATGGTGGTGGAGAAATAGCTACACCAGAACCAGTTAAAAAAGAACGGAAGAAGAGGGGTCCTAAAACAGTTGTAAGTTATTTTAATTTGAAACTTTTTGTGAAATCAAGTTTAAACTTTACTAAATATTGTATAAGTTACTACATTGTTTGATGTATATTGTAAAAAATAATTAAGCAAATCAAGGTTGAAAGTGTCTAAAGCTCATTTTGTTGTATTTTAGGAAGCTAATGGATCAGAAGAATTATGTAATGCCAATAGTTGGACAAATCCTCAAATTGATTTCTCTGATGAAGACTACGTAACTATTAATAATTACAAAATGTTCAGCAATTTAGTACGACCTCTGATTATTGAATGTAATCCTAAGCTGCCAGCAACTAAAGTTGGTATGTTGTTAGCTGCCAGATGGAAAGAGTTTAATGCTTGTGTTAAAGAAAGAAGACCTGCTGGAGCTAGCCCCACAGAAGGTAATGTCTACAGTTCAATAAAGGATAAGAGAGAAAAAGCCATTTGATCTGGACTTGTCAGTATAGCTTATTTGAAAAAAAATGTAATTATGAAAGAGATAAATGATTTTCACTCATGGATGAGACTGATTCATCATAATGGAAGCTTTAAAAAGCATCTATAATCAAGGTGATTAAATATGAAGGAGTTTTAACATGTTCTGAGTGAATGTTATAAGTTATAGTTACATGCTTTACTTTATTTTCAACAGCATCTCCACCAAAACCAGCTGCTAAAACTCCTGTATCTGGTGATGGTGATGAGGGAGATGGTGATGAAGATGTGGGTGTGCTGGTGATGCTGATGATGATTATGAAGAGGAAGAAGAAGTTACCTCCAAAAAGAAGAAAGGTCGTGGAAAGGCTAAATCTGTAGCTCCCTTGAAGATAAAACTTACTAAAAAGACAAAGCGTAGAAGAAAGAACAGCTCTGTAAGCGTCAAATTTTACTGTAAATCTAGAACTTTTAGCAATGTTCAATTCTTTCCTTGAAACAATGAAGTAGACATTTTTTGAGTTGCCATAGATAAATAGTAAAACTATTTTTTATTTCTCCAGGATGAAGATGAAAATGGTGGTTTTAATACTAGTGATGAAGAATTTGAAAGACAACTAGAAGAAGCTGCTTTATTAAATGAAGGTGGAGCTGCTGATGTTCCTAAGAAGAAGAAGAAAGGAAGGGGTCGGGGTAAAAAGAAGAAAAGACAACCTGGGAAAACAGATGATCCTGATGCTGATGGTTATGAGGTTTGTTTTAAGACGTATAGTTTTACTTAATAAATCAAAGGTTGGTGGTTATATGAGTAACTTTCTTACAAAGCTAAGACTAATTTCTAGATATAAAGTCACTATATATATCAATAGTGAGACATCACAAGTATTTTGTAGTTGTCTATATATCTATAGTAAGTTTTTTTTTTTTTTATTAAACATTACATTTGTTTTTCTTCCAGACTGAACATCAAGATTATTGTGAAGTTTGTCAACAAGGTGGTGAAATCATTTTGTGTGACACGTGTCCCAGAGCATATCATTTGGTTTGTTTAGAACCAGAGTTAGAAGAGGCACCTGAAGGCAAATGGAGTTGTCCTCATTGTGTAAGTCATAACAGAATTTTTCCCATTATTTATCTGAGAATTGGAATAGCAGCCTCAGATAGGTATAGTTAGTCAGAATGTCTTTGCGTTTATAAAAGATAAGCATAAGCACACGTTATGTCTTCAAAATTATTTTTTGCACAGGCCCATTTTCAGCCAAAATTTGTGAATTTTTGGGGTAGAAATGTGTTTTTCAATGTGTACACTTACAAAAGATCATGTTTTTATAAACGTGAAGACATTTCAAGACTATCAGTTACTATTATGAGGCTGATATTCCAATTCTTTCCGCAAATATGGCAAAAATTCAAAAAACGTTTTGATTGGCTCAGACAAAAGCCAAAAGTTCTGTACAATTGTGAAAGGGACGCTCTATTTTTTTTTTCAGAAACAACTTAAGTTTACACAATTAGGTAATTGAGATTCAAAACTCTCTTTGAATAGCAAACAAACAATTTTCCTTTTTTCTGATACTGTATATTACTTTTTCTATTGTTAACAGGAAGAAGCTGGTAATCAAGAACAAGAAGAAGATGACCATGCTGAATTCTGTCGTGTTTGTAAAGATGGTGGTGAACTCTTATGTTGTGATCAGTGTCCGTCTGCCTACCATCCATTCTGTATTAATCCACCCATTAAAAATATACCTAATGGTGATTGGCAGTGTCCTAGATGTTCAGTAAGTTCTTATGTAGATTTAGCTAAGATATGACTATTCTTATACTTTTGATTGAGCATGTCTCATAGATAGTCTCTCATTTTATTTTGAAATTGAAACAGAATTGTTAGTAATTTTATTATAAAATGTTTTGAAATCTGATGTTGAATTATAATTGTTATCTTTTAATGCATGAACTTATTTTATTCAGGCTGAACCATTAAAAGGGAAAGTACAGAAGATATTGACATGGAGGTGGGTGGAACCAGTTAAAGAAGATGATGAATTAGATCATACTCATGCTGAAGCTGATAAACTCAAATCTAAGGTATGGTTGTTATTATATTACCTGGTTTGACTGATATAATTTATCTATTTAAATAGAGATATGTTCTGTCAGTTATACAGTTTGTGAAAAGGTTACTCTGTATTTGATGATGTTCTTCATTCCAGGCTCATCCAAGATTAAGAGAATTCTTTGTTAAATGGCATGACTTGTCTTACTGGCACACGAGTTGGATTTCAGAACTACAGGTAAGCTTATTGTTCATTATATCTTCACATACCTGATAGAATTGTCCAATCAAATCCCTCATTACTTGGGATAAGCTGTGTGGTACAATTTGAGTAAATGAGAAACAGATACAATAAACCCATAATGATCTTTTTTTTAGCTTGATGTATACCACCCTGCTACATATAGATGTTATATACGTAAGTACGACATGGATGAACCTCCACCTTTAGAAGATGGTAGTTCTTATGGTGAGAAAATTAAAGGAGATGATCCACATAATTTAGAAGAAAGATTTTATAGATATGGTGTTCGACCTGAATGGTTATCAATACATCGAATTATAAATCATAGGTACGAGTCGTACGACAGCTTTCTCATTTCTTCTGAAAAGCTCTCCATGTGCATCTATATGGTTAAATTTCTAATAATAAGATGGTAACTTAACATTTCATTTGAAATTTAAATTGCCATCAGGAATAGCTTCATTCGAATGTAACTTGTATCTGTTAATGATCTAGCCATTCTAGTTTCCTGTACATTATTTTGATGTATTTGAATTTTTACAGAAATGCAAAAAATGGTAAATCGTGGTACTTAGTAAAATGGCGAGATTTACCCTATGATATGTCCACATGGGAGGATGATGAATGTGAAGTTGCTGATTTCGCTAAAGCTGTAGAGGATTATTATGATTTAAGGTAAGACTGGCACGGTAGTGTAACTTTGACAACCGTCTAACAATACAAGTCAGAGAAAGCCCTTGCAATTGTTCCTCAAAGATGACATACATTTACCAGATAGACAAAGATAAAGATAGCCTATATTTTTGTTTATTTTTGTGCTTGTCACAGAGACTTAATTTTCCATAACTTACATCCAGGATTAAATGTCTTCTAATCTGAAATATTGAAATAAGTTGTATTATTTTTAGAGCTGTAATGTTTGGAGATAAAAGATATGGTAAAAAACCAGGTAAAGGAGCAAGGAAGAAAGATATTTCATCTAAAATGCCTCCTCCAGGACCTGTCACAGATGTAAGTAATGTCTTCCTGATTCCTCATTCTGTTAAAATTCAGTATTGATATCTAAGTACATGTATTTCATGTAGTTATGAGGTTGATATTATATCATGTTTTAAACATATTGTAACAAACTTTCTGTAATATTTATTTTTAGCTGAAGAAAAAATTAGTTCAACAACCACCCTATCTAGATCTAACTGGTGGTAATATATATCCATATCAATTAGAAGGATTAAATTGGTTACGTTATTCATGGAGTAATAGTACTGATACTATATTGGCTGATGAGATGGGTCTAGGAAAAACTATACAAACAATTGTTTTCCTATATTCTCTTTATAAAGAGGTAAGTAGAAAAGTGTTCATATTTATATAGTAGATTTTTATTTCAAGAAAATGTTGATTTTTAAATCAGTATAGCCCTACATGTTTCAAATCATCGTTGAGAATATTACATATTAGACATACAGTATTAGATGTTGTCAATTTGAATCTAAAAATAAATCTGCTCCTATACAGAATGTGATTGTCTATTTCAGGGTCACAGTAAAGGTCCATTCCTGGTATCCGCTCCCCTATCAACTATTATTAATTGGGAAAGAGAATTTGAGTTTTGGGCTCCTGATTTATATGTTGTTACCTATGTTGGTGATAAAGATTGCCGTACTGTTATCAGGTATAAACTCCTTTTAGTTTTTTTACAATATTAAATATTAAAAATGTGTTATTCAATAGTTTTGAGAGACATTGATGTTGGTTTATTATTCTTTGTTCTAAGAAAAAATGAATTCTGAAATTATGTGGTCTGAGTTAAATTTCTAATAAACCCCTTGTATTCAATTTTTTGATTTGTCCTTCTTTATACGATTATTATTTTATTCTACAATTTCAGAGAACATGAATTTTCATTTGAAGAAGGGGCTATACGTGGTGGACCAAGAGTGTCTAAAATGAGAGAAGGATTTGGTGTCAAGTTTCATGTATTACTGACATCTTATGAATTAATCAGTATAGATCATGCTTTATTAGGATCTGTAGATTGGCAGGTTTTAGTAGTTGATGAAGCTCATAGATTAAAAAATAATCAGTCCAAGGTATGCTTATCTTAATTGTTATTAGTGTCATTTTAGAATGGTATTCTCATCTCAGTTCTTATTGGATACCCTTTTAATACGCCCACATGGAAATGTAGACCTATATTGCCATAGCTATCCACATTTCTTGTATGCAAGATAGAGGCTACAGTTTTTATCCGATCTTGATGAAACTTGGTATGCAGGTATATATTGATGAGATCTCGGTCAAGTTTAAAATAGGTAATATTTTGATGAAAGGTTTCAGAGTTATTGACCCTGACTTATTAAAAACGCGATAAAGGCTACAATTTTTATCCAATCATGATGAGACTTAGTATGCATACATACGGTCACATTCGAAATTGGTAATAATTGGATAACAATTTCAGAGTTATTGCCCTTGACTTAGTGAAATGCGTAATCCGACATCATTTTCTGGTCCCGATTGATTTCCTTCTTAGGCTAGTTTAAAAAACTCTGAGTATACCGACACTCTGTGTATTCCGAATTACGATGCTAATCAGTGGTCCTGACACTCAGAAAAATCTGTATAATCAGACATCTACTCATCTAAATCACTTATCGTCAATTAGATAGTTGCAAATGAAAACAAAAGATCGCTGAACTAAATTCTGCTGATTAATCACCGCAATGACCTCGCTTCAAAATCAAGGTCATTGCTTTTAGACCAAATGACATGGGTGCTCGTACACCATTATAGAACAGAAATATGCAACTTGACCATTCTTTGTTGTGCGTTTTATCGAAATTCTCAAGCTAGCCATTTCCGTTCTGCGAAGCGTGCTCGCACTGATGTGTCTCTGGATATGAAAAAGCAAATTATTGGAGGTTATGAGAAAGTGCCGTGCTCTTGGCAGAAATATTTAACTATGAAATTTGGTTGAACAGCAATAAGCAGCATTTTAAAAAGTAAAGAAGAATTTTTTAAAAAGTTTGCCGACAATATTAATTCCAATAAAAAGCATATGTACAAAATATTAAAATTAAATGATATTAACAAATACAACTGAATTGTTTTTATTATTGTCTTATTATTAAAATATCCTTCAGCGAATATTATTAGAAAGGTAGAGTGTGGGTCACTGAGCTATAAATGGTAACACGTGGCGCATTAAAAAAGGTTGAAACTCTGAGTACTCCGACACTCTTGCTAATCCGACATTTTTTGCGGCCCCAGTGTATGTCGGATTACGCAGAGTATGCTGTATATATTAATGAAATCTCGGTCAAGTTTGAATTTGGTCATTATCGGATGAATGGTTTTTGAGTTATTGCCCTTGACTTGTAGAGAGCAATCTTTATGTGATCTTGATGAAACTTGGTATGCATGTATAAAAGATCTGTCAAGTTTTGGTAATAATTGGATAAATGGATATGGAGTTATTACCCTTTACTTAATATGAAATTTAGTATGCATGTACATAAACTTAAAATAAGTGACAACCAGATGAACAGTTTCACAGTTATTGCACTTGACTATGCAAGAAACATGTCAAATTTGGCTAGTTTTCATCTGCCCTTGATGGTATTCAGAGTTATTGCTGCTTTGTGTACATCGATGAAACCTTGGTCATGTTATAATTTGATCGATTTTGAGGTTTTGCCTTGCATGGCAAGCTATCTATAAGATTATTTGAAAATTCATTATTAAGCCACTAAAGATTTTGCTATATTTTCTGACAGCTGATACTGTATAAAATTTGAGGCTGATTACTTTTCTACATTTTAAACAGCAAACAGCATTATATTTGTTAATGTTGTGACCATTTTTTATCTCGAATTTTTTTTCAAATTTTCAGTTTTTCCGTATATTGTCAAACTATAAGATTGGTTATAAATTATTATTAACTGGTACACCATTACAAAACAATTTAGAGGAATTATTTCATCTTCTTAATTTCCTTACTCCTGAAAATTTCAAGTAAGTATGTTTATTAACCCATGCTTCTTTATTATTCCATCAAGGCATTTAATTCAAGTAACTGCTAACTCTGAGTAATAAGTGGGTCATCCTCTATATGAATACAAGGGTTCATGTGTTAAAACAGTAAAAACACTCAAATTCATGTTTCTGCATCAGGATACAGATTTAAACATATATTCTATTCCAGTGATCTCACAGCTTTCCAAAATCTCTTTGCTGATATTTCTAAAGAAGACCAAGTTAAAAAGTTACATGACATGTTGGGTCCACATCTGTTACGTCGTCTTAAAGCTGATGTCTTAAAGGGAATGCCTTCTAAAAGTGAATTTATTGTTCGAGTTGAATTGAGTCCAATGCAGAAGTGAGTGTAATTATACCAATTCCATATGATCATTAGCTATAGTCTGTATATACAATGAGTTGTAATGGAACAATATTGCTGTATGTTTTAGGTGTCTTTGAAAGCAGACAGCTTACATCTCAAGCGAAAGGAAAAGGAAAAGAGTCAACATATTTATGATCAGTATCCTTCTATCTGGTCAACCCTTTTAGAGAGTTCCCACAGTTACTAGTTTATTTGGTGTAATTTTTTTTAACCGTATTCTTTTTTTTACAGGAAATATTATAAATATATTTTAACAAGAAATTTTGGAGCTTTAAATACTCGTGGTTGTCAAGTATCATTATTAAATATTATGATGGATTTAAAGAAATGTTGTAATCATCCTTATCTTTTCCCCACTGCTTCAGCTGTAAGTATTTTATTAAGTTATCTCAATGCAATTCATGACAACAGCAGTACTGCATGAGAACAACTTGTATATGGGGGATGTAGAACCACTAGGTTCTTGACAATTGAATCAGCAATTGATGATGTCACAGTATTTAATATGGCAAAAAATCCCATTATTCATTTGAGCTTGACAGGATTCTCTCTGCCTTTATATTTGTTTCTAAAATACTTTTATTTTCTTGTAGGATGCACCAAGATTACCTAATGGTGCATATGAAGGGACAGCTTTACGTAAAGCCTGTGGTAAATTAGAACTGTTACATCTGATGTTAAAACAACTAAAAGACCAGGGACATAGAGTTCTCATCTTCTCACAGGTAAAGTTTGAACATTCTTTATTCGAATATGAGGTTGTCTGAGTTGAATGTTATTATTTGGCCATGATTAATGTTAAATGATGTCATAATTTTTGTCTTGTGTTTTAGATGACCAAAATGTTGGATATTTTAGAAGATTTCTGTGAAGCAGAAGGGTATCATTATGAAAGAATTGATGGTGGTATAACAGGATCATCTCGACAGGATGCTATTGATAGATTTAATGGTATGATGATCACTTACTTATAGATTTTTTATCACCATAGTAGCAACAAAATTCATTGATGATGAAAATTTTTGTATTAAACTTATTTTTATTAACATGTTATAGTATACAGTATATGTGTGTACTTTCAGTTGCTGGAGCTAAAGCCTTTATTTTCTTGTTATCAACAAGAGCTGGTGGATTGGGTATTAATCTGGCAACAGCTGATACTGTTATTATATATGATTCAGATTGGAATCCTCATAATGACATTCAGGTATGATTTTACCTAGTTTATAAGAATTAAAGATAAAGCATTAACATTGAGCATCGAGCAGTACCGGTAACTTAAGTACCGTAGGTAGAATTTGCAAATTGGTCTAAAATTTGGAAAATGTTTTTGTAACTTATAAAAAACCTATTTAGTAAAGATTGATTAAAAATCCTCTTATATATTAGGCATTCAGTCGAGCCCATAGAATTGGTCAAGCTAATAAGGTTATGATATTCCGATTTGTAACCCGTGCTTCAGTAGAAGAGAGAATTACACAAGTAGCTAAGAAGAAAATGATGTTGACACATCTAGTAGTTAGACCTGGTTTAGGTAATAAAGGTGGCGCTATGTCTAAGAAAGAATTAGATGATATTTTAAAATTTGGTACTGAAGAATTATTTAAAGATGAACAAGGTAAGGATACCAAGTTGTTTTGATTTTTTCATCAATCATATAAAGCTTATGAGAGAAACTTTGTGGTCCTTTGTGTGATGTTTTGATATCTAGGGCTTGACTGTCATGTTCACATCTTAAACTAAGATAATTAGGATTACATCTTTCTATATAAATAGGTTCAGATCAGAGCAGTATTGTGTATGATGAAGACTCAGTATCTAAATTAATAGATAGATCACAAGTTGGTATGGAAGAAAGAGAAATGGCTATGAATGAATATTTGAGTTCATTTAAAGTGGCTAGTTATTCTGTAAAGGAAGGAGAGCAAGAAGTAAGCTTAGGTTTAGTTTTTCATTAAAATGAAATCTAAAGTGACTTGTCATCATGACAAAAGACATCATTTGTTGAGATTCTGTTAAAAGTAGATGAATAAATATGAAATTTTATTTATTACTTCATTGATAAAATCTTTTGATACATTTTTTAAATTGACCTTATTATTTCCTAGGATGAACCAGAAACAGAAGTTTTGAAACAAGAAGCAGAGCATGCTGATCCTGCTTACTGGGAGAAATTATTACGCCATCATTATGAACAACAGCAAGAAGATTTAGCTCGTACATTAGGTAAAGGTAAACGTGTACGTAAACAAGTCAACTACAATGATGCTATGAACACACAAGACGAAGAAGCGTGGAAAGAAAGTGTGTCTGATTTTGATTCAGACTTTAGTGGTCATTCTGGAGACCATGGTAAGTAACTTTCATTAGTATAATATTATAACCTTTTATTTTGTTAAGAAACATTTTGTGTTTAAATCGAGTGCCTCACCCATTTTATAACTAAAACAAATCAATGTATAATGGTGGTGTAAATATGGGACTAAATTCTGTATCGTACTGAAATTAATTCAGTGTTCAGGATTAAGAAGTAGTAGTTTTTGTTGATATATTTATGAGTTCTAATGTATCTATTTCAGTCCATGATGAAGATGATGATGATTTTGAGGATAAAACTGATTGTAAGTCTAAATAATTAATTGATGTATGTGTATGTTTATAAACTTCTGTTTTTGCAATGATGTCTTGATGTTAAAAATTTAACAGTTAAATAAACTAGGTGGAAGAGAATTTGTACATACATATATATTATACATTATATTTTCAGCTCGTAACAGAACTCGTAAAAATGAGAAAGATAGACCCTTACCACCTTTATTGGCTAGAGTTAATGGCCAGATAGAGGTAAGTAAATTTAGTTTTCTTAACATTTAGGATAGTTTCCTCACAGCAACAAAAAAAAAAAAAGAAAATACTTTTTAAGTCTTTAACAAATTGTACTATTGAGTTGTTTATTTTTAGTCAATATATCTTTTTTTCCTAGGTATTAGGTTTCAATGCCAGACAACGAAAGGCTTTCCTGAATGCTGTAATGAGATGGGGTATGCCACCTCAAGATGCTTTTAATTCTCAGTGGTATGTCACAAAGTAATTTCTCTTTTATTTTACTTCTTAGAAATGAACTAGAGTGCATGTGTGGTTGTTTTTAAGATTGTATTCTGTGGGTTAAAGAATGAATGTCTGGTCAAAAAGCAATGTGTAAACAAGTCAATGTTTTTGTCTTATTCTATATTTTGTTGATGTATCAGGTTTGATTTTTACAGGTTGGTTCGTGATCTGAGAGGAAAAGGAGAGAAAGTATTTAAAGCTTATGTATCATTATTTATGCGTCATCTTTGTGAACCAGGAGCAGATAACTCTGAATCTTTTGCTGATGGTGTACCAAGAGAAGGTTTATCAAGACAGCATGTTTTAACAAGAATTGGTATCATGTCTCTTGTTAGAAAAAAGGTCAGTTTTCAGTTCTATTTAGATCAATAAAACATTGTTTCATATTCATGTGACAAAACCTTTTCAAAAATCCCCGGCTTGATAAACTAGTTTGTTATAATGTTTCTGGAATTATGGAAAACTTGGTATTTAATATAAAACTAATTTAGAAACTCGTCAAAAGCTGGATATGAAATGAAAGATTGTGTATTTCTAGGTTCAAGAATTTGAAGCTATTAATGGAGTACAAAGTATGCCATATAAAAGTGCTGTGAAGGCTGTAGAAGATTTAAAGAAAGAACAGGAGGAAGAGGCTAAGAAAGAGAAAGAAGAAGAAATAAAAGAAGAAGAGAAATCAGAAGAAAAGACTGAAGATGGTACAATCAAAACAGAGGTGGGGTTTTATGTGTTTTTCTTTGAACTTTTCATGTTAGTCAAAGATAATCAAAAGAATCTCTTTCTAAATGTAAATACATGACCCTGTATACTTTATGTAGCTGTGATCATGAAAATGTGGGCATCTCTTGAATTGATCTCCTTGCACTCTATTGATTTGATTATAGGTTACTTTTATATTACATAAAATTTAGGTAAAAGATGAAGAGATGAAATCTGAAGAAAAGAGTGAAGGAGAAACAGAGGTGAAAGAAGAGAAAAAAGAAGAACTAATGGAAACTGATGAAAAACCAGAAGAGACAAAAGAAGAGAAAATTGAAGATAAACCCGAAGACAAACCAGAAGACAAGGATAAAGCTGAAGGTGAAACAATTTTTACTCAACACTTGACATTACTGTATTATACTGCATAAATCATAATATCATAGTTCCACAAAAACATGAAAAATTTCATATTGTTGATTAGATAATAAGTGTCAATCTGAATGTAAGATGTCAATTAGTGTGAAATATTGTAATATTTTTTATAGAAGAAAAAACAGAGGAAAAGGCTGTAGAAGAGAAAACTGAAGTCAAAGAAGAAGAAAAGATGGAAGTTGGTATGTATATTTATTGGTGCAGCATTGTTGTCCAGCTTGAAACTGTTAATTATCTTTAGTTTTAGACTTATTGTTAGAATGTAAGTACATTACAAGACTGTTAATTGGTGATCAGGAATGATGCAGTTTGATAATCAATAATCAGTAGTTGGTTATATAATAATATGATTGAATAAATCTATATTATAATCATTACTATCCAACTTATATCATTATACTGTATTTATTAGAGATAAAGATAACTAGATCTACATCTTTATCAAAAGGCAATACAGTACATAAACTTTCCTATAGATGTATGTTTTTGATGTATCGAGTTAAAAATAACATGATGATCTGAGGTAAAGTTGTCTTTATTATATAGAAAACAAGTGTATAGTATAACAATATTTTCACTCACAAAAATTTGATTCAGATGAAGACAAGAAAAAAGATTCTGATCAAAAAGATGGTTCTGTGTCAAAGGAACAGGATGGTGAGAAACAGGATGGTGAGAAACAGGATGGTGAGAATAAAGAAAGTAATGAAGAAGAAAAAGAAGAAAAGAAACCAAAGGAAGAAACCCAAACAGAAGAGGAAACTAAAACCAAAGAAGAAACAAAACCGAAAGAAGAACATAAAACAAAAGAAGAAACTAAATCAAAGGAGGAAAAGGAAACAAAAGAAAAAGAAAAGGAAACAAAAGTAGAAAAGATAGAAGAAAAAACAGAAGAGGGTTGTCAGAAGTTTATGTTTAATATTGCTGATGGTGGTTTTACAGAGTTACATACTTTATGGCAGAATGAACAGAGGGCACTGGTTCCATCTAAAGAACATGAAGTTTGGCACCGTCGACATGATTATTGGTTGTTATCAGGAATTGTTGTGTATCCTTTTTAAAGTCAAAATCATTAGATCGGAGATATATTATTAGCTTACCAATCATTAATACCAATGAATACAGTTACTATGCTTAATTTATTTAATTAAAGATTAGAAGGTTTTAAAAGTTATGGTATTTTATAGTTATTCCTTAACCCTTATAGTTATGGCTATGGTAGATGGCAAGATATACAGAATGATCCTCGATACCAAATTATAAATGCTCCTTTTGTTAGTGAACAAGGAAAGGGAAATTTTTTGGAAATCAAAAATAAATTTTTGGCTAGGCGATTTAAGGTAAGATTTAAAGAAAGCTGCTAGGTTGATTTTTTAAGGGTTTTTTTCATGGTATTTTACTAGAATATTGGATAATGAATTCTAATCAAAATTTTAAGAATTTGTGCACGTTCATAATAACAAAACTTAGAAACATGCATATTGGCTTAAAAATCATGTGACAATGAATATTTATTACCTTGTTCCCTGATATGAAGTTGACCTAAAGTTGAACACTGTAAAAAAAATTGAATAGTTTCTGATGTATTGTATTATTCACTTCAGTTATTAGAACAAGCTTTAGTGATTGAAGAACAGTTACGAAGAGCAGCTTATCTCAATTTATCTCAAGACCCATCTCATCCGGCCATGGCTCTGAACGCAAGGTTAGTCATTTTAATTTCATTTTTAATGAATTGTGTGCTTAAGGGTTTGTTTGATAAAAAAGTTTGATACTTGTTATGTTTGCCTCTCCTGTATAGAACCCAGATGATTGCTTAATATACTATCTTTTACCAAGAATTCTTAGTTTAATCTGGTGGCAGAAGGGTCCATGACATTAATACTTTTTATGACAAGAGAAATATAATAATAATATAACCAGTATATATAATAAACTACTATATTTTGTAGATTTGCTGAATTAGAATGTCTAGCTGAAAGTCATCAACATCTATCTAAAGAATCTCTTGGTGGTAATAAACCTGCTAATGCTGTTTTACATAAAGGTTAGTACTTAACTCGAAAAACCTTGAAAAAAAAAAAAGCTAAAGTGCTTTTGCTGGATTGAAAATTTTTCACTAGAATTTTTAAAGATATAAAGTAGGAGATACAGTCTGGATATTTCTATTTTCACAATATAAACCTAAGGTTTCCTTGATCTAATTTTTTGGCTATACTCTTTCAGTGCTAAACCAATTAGAAGAATTATTAAGTGATATGAAACAAGACGTTGCCAGGTTACCAGCCACTCTAGCCCGTGTTGCCCCAGTAACACAAAGATTACAGATGTCAGAACGTCATATCTTAAACCGTTTAGTCAATCCAAACCAAGTATCAGTTGTTTCAGCACCTAGTCAACAATCTACACCTTCTACATCAAAAACATTTTCTGGAGCATCAGGATCTGGTATTCCTGGTTTACCACAAGGAATGGCTGGACTAGGTATGACAGCTGGCAATTTCTCTCAAGGTAGGTCTCTGCTAACATTCAATCTGACAAAGTAGGCTGCAGTTAGATATTGCATGGCTACTTTGAAATGAGCTTCAAGTTGTGTTGTTTGTTATTGTTGAAATAGTTCTATTTTAGTGATTATATGTGATGTGCTGGTTTTAAACTAATATAGACTTGGCTTTACTTCATAGACATTTATATAATTTTGTTTTCAGCTTTTTTGATTTGCACAGCAGCATGTCTGACATTGGTTTAAGTGGATAATAGCTTACAGTATCTTCACAATTGGATTAAAAATATACTTTTTATCTACATTTCTTTTACAACAGTGAAACAATGAGACATTACCTCTGAATCTATCAAAATTATCTGTTAATATTTTCTCTCAAGAATTAAATAAGGTGAAGACAAGTGTTCTTTCTTTATTCAGGCTTTTTTTTTTTTTTACTACTGCCAAATTCTTCTATTGACATTTCTTGATCATTCTGAGTTTGTATAAATTATAAAACTTAACTTAATACATGTGTTACTATGCTGAATATAGCCACTAGTAGAAAAGTCAATGAAAATAAAATCATGAAGGTATTTGATCAGATCGTACCACCAAATTGAATTTTCTTCAGCTTTGCTTTACAGTGTACTGATGTGTTGTAAACACGAAATGGCTTAGCTTGTTTCTTATAGATTGTGTTCAATGTGTTTCTTTCAGATGTAGATATTGTGGCAGCTTTCTACCAGTTTACACACATTATTTACTATCAACAAATCCTAGGTTTTTTTTATTTTTATTATTATCTTCTAAATATTTATATCTATTGATTTATAAAGCCAGTTTTGTTTGACTTCAGATATAATTTATCTGTCTCAGTTTCAAAAAATAGCAGTTTGCAATATAATGAAATCAATGTTGGTGTAATAATATGTGTGGATTGTTTAGTATGCATGAATTACTCATACTATATATTACTATTTCAGTTGTTGTCTTTATTTCTTTTAACTCAAAATCATAACAAATATTCAATTTTAAGTTCAAGTACAACTTGATTATTTGTCGCAACTTTAATTTTTATGTTTTCATTATAAATTTATTTATTTTGGTTTTAGAAAAATGATATTAATGGAGATATTTTACTGAGCCTGGCTATTTTCTTTCAGGTCAACTGGCTATGGGTTTTCCTTTGATGTCTTTATTACCAGGTACTATTGATATAGTCTGATTTCAGTAATAGTACTTCATTTCTACATTCTCATATACTTTGTTTCAAATCATTTTAATTTATGCATATCCGTTTTTAAAATGTTAATGGTTTGACAAAGTATTAGTAGAAGATTGTTGTAATATTTGACATTTCTAAAGAGTAGTTGTAGATATTTGAAACATTTTATATTATACTTTTTATTTATTTCTTATGACATATTGTTTGTTTTTGTTTGCAGGTCAAAGTTCAAGTAGAGGAGGTACCCCAAGTTCCTCACATAAATCTGCTACACCCACACCAGGTAAGACAATTTCACCTTACTAACAAACCTACAATTTCATATAGTATTTTCAGAACTCGGTGATCAATTTCAAAATCTCTGAGTTGACGTATATTAATATACATTGAAATTAAATTTATTTATGCAAAGGGAATGGCCTTATTTTATATTGGATCACTATCTGTATGATATTCTATAAGGTTTTCAAAATTTCTTAATATTACATTGAAACATTGTTTTATTCCTCTTTCTATGTAGACACATCTGGCTAGACATTCCTATAATTCATACTGTCTACATTAGGTAGGATTCCATCTCCTATAGTGTGCTTGCTATGTCTTGTCTCTTTGGTTCAGTTTTTGCTTGATTCAGTTTCCTGCTTAGTTTAGTGTCTACATGTTTGGTCTTGAATAACCTGATCTTAAGTAGTCTATTGTTACTAAGTTGTCTGTGACTTAGTTAAAAGAAAAATAAGAATACCAATTCCATTGTTTATCTTATTACTTTGAACATTATGTGTTAGTCTGCATGCAATACCATTAAAGCAACAGTTCTAATTGCGATATTTGAGAACATGAAATAATAGTTTTGTGCATTATAGTCACATTTTGCTAATTTTTTGTTGTATAAATCTGATCCAAAGCATGCCCAAATAGAGGTTTACAACTGAAATTGTGCTGTCAGAAATATAACAGTGAAAATTTGACGTCTAGAATATTAACATTGACATTGATAAAGAGAATGTGTCATCTGGCAAAACAAATTGATAGCTCTTTTTCAATAGGTAGATAAGATATAGAACCATTGGACTATACTTTTCTATTGTTTGTAAGTTATTGACTGTGTAATGTAACATAAATATGTTTATTGGTATCTTTCAGACAAAAGTGGTGTAGAAGATCTCAGTAAAAAATCCAGTTCAAAGAAAGATGTAATTTGTTTAGATGATTAGTTTTATTTTGTTGTTATTGTTTGTTGTCAAATCATTGTAAATTATATCATTCATTAACTCATTATTTTCAAATTGGTAGTTTTCAATATTTTACATGGTAGTGTATGTATTACTATGTTTAATTTATCATGTTTTTTTTATTGACAGGCTCTGTCTTTCTGCCAACAAAAATCCAACATTGAAAGGTTTTTTATCTGTTTTTATTTCTCATGCCAGAAAATTTATTTAGTATGTGTATATTTGTATTGTGATATTTATCTGTAGATGATACCCTCTTTGTCTACAAAGAAAGTCCTTCTAAATCAATTTGTGCTTTTCATAATTCATTCATTTAAAAAAGAATAGTGCTAGTAATACAAATTAAGTTTTTCTTTTCTGCTTGAGAATGTTGTCTCTTGGTATATATGTAGGACATAAAACTCCATTCATTTCATTTTCTTGGTATATTTGGAATTCATTATCAAAGAAGATTATGAGATATTTAAAAGAATAAATCATAAAATTATCTAAAAACCACTTGTTTTCTTTTCATCAGTATTCAGTTATTGCTGTTTTGTGGCAGAGTAAGTATATTTTATAGGGTAGATAATCAACAAGATTTAACTGGTACTGTGGCAAAAATAGAGAGCTTTTATTAATGTGTATCAACCTACACCCAAATGTCATTTTGTATTGGCAGAGATAGATTCCTATCTTAAGGAAACACACAGATAACCATATTTTGCAGTCGCTTGTTATCGACAAGAATATGGCTTATAAAGATGATTTACCTTTCAATCTTATAGTTTATATTATTGTAAATTTCACATACATAATAACACTGGCTTTTTTATCCTGAATCAATACTAGAAGTTAGCTTGCTAGGCAAAGTAACATCATGTCCAAACCACACCCCCATTCGTCATACTTTCTCGGAGTTGTGGTAACATAAGTGGGAAAAAAATTACGTATTCATAGCTAAATATTGGCCAATCAAAATTGGCCCTACTGTATTGGTAGCAAATTTAAGGCAATAAAAATAAATCACTCGTTATGACGCCTCGTTTGCGAACCTAAACATATTTTGATGAATATGTAGGCTACTGTACAGAATTGAGTAAGATTTTCGCTAAAAGAATTGAAGCTGAGAAAAAATCTTACTCTGGAATATTTAGAAAGAATGTGTTCTTATCTCTTTAAACAGGCGGCGGCAAAGCCGTGTTGTGCTGTTCTACCCATCTGATTGTCAGATTTAAATGCCACCAATTAGAGCAATTAGGTGCAGAAGAGTAGGCGGTAAAAACTGTTGCAATTTGGGTATCATGTATCGTACGTTGAGGCAATGAAGAAACTTTGAAATGTTGAACTCTTTTTTTTTAATAACATAACAAAACAAACACAATGAGTCAAATTATTTTTGAATTTCCACAAACATGAAGGCACTAGGCACTTCCTTGCGGATTGTTTCAATACTATGATATGAGAAATTCAACTATATCCTGGATTTTCCACAAGGCACTGGGAGGTGCTGAATTCTTTTTTTTTTATAGAAAAAAATTCAACAATAAAACAAACAAAATATAAACTGCATTAACATTAATTCGATGTGAATTATGATTTATAATTAATACTCTAACTTAAAGTATAATTGCTGAGGAATGACTGTGATGAGATGCCATCAAAATTTTCTTGGATCTTCCCTTAAAAAGACATTCATTGGACAACATGTGTACACTTCTAAAAAATGACTTGGGAATGATAGCTTTCCTCCTTATGAGGTTGCATTCTTTATTACCAGATTTCCATTCAAAATCACACGGATTTCTCTCTTGTACTTCTGACAAATCATCAATGTTTAATGTGGAATAAATTCCTTTACAAAGATTAAACCTAAATGTAATTTGAGTTCGATACATTTTAATGGGAACTTTGCTATATCTTTTAGATTTTTCATTTGATTCCTTTGCTTGGATTAATGCACAAACAGTTCCAATAATCTGGCCATCTTGTTCAACATCTAAAATTTGTAAGTCATAGTTGTAGAAAGACACAAAACGTCGACCCCATTCAGCTCGAAGATGAATGGTTTCCATCATATATGGCTCTATATCAAAAGTCATTTGCAAAACAGATATAATGTCTGATGCAGCGCTAACATTTTTCGCAACTGATAAAGTCTTTCCCCCAGCACTGACATCTACTGGTAGAATACTTCTGTAAGCCAAGTCATATTCATCTTCCATTGAGACCTGTGAATCAGTAATTTCCTCTTGTTGTATACTATAACATCTTGAAGAATAAGTAACAGTCTTAGCTAAATTAGTATGAACATGAACGCCTTCTGAACTTTTTGAAGTCACACTACTATTACTGTTACTTGGAGAAAAGAATGATCTTTCGGAACAAATTCTGGGACTTGGTGATGAGAAAACATAATTACTGACAGGAGGTTTCTCTGATAATAATGAAGTACTGTACTCATTTGATGTCTCTATATTTTCATGTAAATACTTTCCTGATGCACTAGCTCTCGGAGAAGAAACAGAGAAGTTGTTTGATTGCTCTGAAGTCCTTACACTCATTCCTCCACCATTTTTGTCTTGTAATGGTTGTCTAACTACTTTAGGGCATACACAGTCACATGAAATTTGGTTACAGTTATCACACATTCTGTATTCTTTTGCTTTCTCAAGCTCAATACTCACAATAGATTCTGAATCACCAACAAACTCCAAACCTCCTGAATTTAATGGACTACTAATAGGCATATTATGGCAACACACAGCAACTCCATCAGAATTATTTTCTTCACAGTCCATACAAGAACACTGAGAAGACTGGCATTCTGAACAAGACTTGGACTTAGAATTCGGTGAAGAAGACACACTGTCATATGTATTTATAGTTTTTAACACTGTCAATGACAAATCACTGCCTATGACTGTTTCTTGTTTAAAATCAATTCCTGATGAACGTTGGAGATTTTTAAGGTGAGGAATTTGGACTTGGAAAGCTACTAGAGAAATGCCTGTATTTAATATGACAGTTCCATTTAGTTTAAGTTGCACATTTGGTGAGAAGGCGGGATAGGGTGGGTTCATATCATATTTACTGTAAACACAAAAATCATGTAATAGGCACTTTCTTTCAACTTTTGATTGTCCACTGTCATTTGCTGCAGGCTTACTTTGCTCATTCTGACAATCAGAGCATCTGCCTAAGCAAGGTATAGAAGTAATGGTAACATAACAGAAACAAGAGTCTTCTCCCGGTGATGGTATACTCTGACCATATACAAATACTTTCTGATCATCTTCTGGCCATTCACAAAATGCTAAAAACAATTCTTTAAATATGTCATCACCACCAAATAGTTTAACCTCCGACACCAGTTGCAATGGCTTATTTGGAACAAAAAGCCACCACTGAAGTCTATAGTCATAAATTGGCAGCACATGATCATTCGTCTGCTCACCACCAACTTGAAGGGAGTAGGAAACGACGAATTTTCCACACTTTGAAAACCCAAGAAAAACATGCCCATTCTCCAAAACTGTGTGGGAAACAAGCCTTTTTAATTGATAACACATACGACCCGGTATTTTTTCAAATAATACAGGGTTCGGTTGCTTCTTGTGCATTTTCCAACATCCCGTTTTCTCTCGAACAAGTAATCGTCTTACAATATTTCTTTCTTTCGTCGCCATGTTGGTTGTTTGTGTTCGCGCGCACCTGCCAGTGTTACCAGATCAACTCTAAAATTATCACAAATACGTAACCTGAGTTGCCAGATGAAACGGCATCCAAGATTCTTTTAGAGGTTGAAATATAAAAATGTTACATTCAATCTTTTATGTTTTCATTTTTGCTAGTACAATCAGGCACTTATAGCCTAATACCTAATCTGTTGGCAGTATCTGGCAAATTTCCAAATGCCTTTAGATAATCTGCAACAGTGCAGACATTCTACTCAGGGTATTCGGTCAACTTGGTGACATGTCAACTCGGCGACAAATTTTTGTTGGTTAACTCGGTGACAAAATATCCCCTAAAGACATTACTTTACATTGTATTGCAGGCCCTTACGCCAGGTCCTGATAATGGTACTATTAAAATAATATATTATACTAAGGTACACTCTGTAGGCTCAATTCCTTATAAGAGAATTAAAGCTGGTTCGCAATTTTCAGGGTTAATTTGGATCTTGAATTATGTATAAAATATAGTCTTAAGAACTACTAGAACTGCACAACAACCGAATAATCCCTTCATATACACTTCAAACTACAAATTTCACTTCCATTTTCTCAACCGGTATACATCTTTCTTTTTTTTTTTAGATATGGCTGAGTATCAAGAAATGACTATCGTCAAATGCGGGTAAATTTGTCCACACATTGATTTGAGATTGATTAATTTGCAGTGTTAGATGGTGATGAGAACATAGTCACATGAAAGCACTGGACTGGGTCTTTAGCTGAAATAGCTGAAATATAAGAGTCAACGTTCTTCTGATATATAAATATTCATCTAATGATAAATCCTGTATTGTGAAACAAAATCTTTTCATGTATCTATAAGAAAAAAAGAAGTATTAATATGAATAGTCATTGTAGAAAATTCAACAGAAAAGAAGTCAGAAATTTTAAGGCTATTGAGTGTTAAGCCTACCATGGACTAGGATATTACTGAAATTTGTATTTTTCCTGTAAGCTGTAACAAGTCTCTTGCTGTAGGCTTTAGGGGATATTAGTCTTGAAAATTCTGGTAGTGGCGTCTGATGATATGAGAGGCATTAGTGGCAGTATGGTTGTAGGTGGTAACGAAGGGTAGGCTATTATCTGGTTGGTCCATCCAATAACTCGCGTTGTAATCCGCTTTGCTTTGGCTTGATATTGGGCATGGCCTAGGTTGTGTCTTTTCAATTGGCATAATCAACAAGTCTTCAATGAAATGGTCGGGTTGGTTAAAGTGATTGGAAATTGGTCTGTTTTGCCACGTACTATAATTATCGTAACGATGGCCGTTAAAACGAGTTCGCAGCGAGTTCTTTGTTTCTCCAATATAGCCTTACTGTATTTCGCATTTTTTTTTACATAAAATGAGGTAAATGAGATTTTGCTCTCCGCATGAAATTTGGTTTTTCCAGTTTTATTGTTTTTAAAGAAATAAGAAATAGGTACATGTTCGCAGGTCTGACACGCTGTACCAACACATGGTTTTGAGGAGGAGGGTTATATTTCTTCTGAAGTTTTAATAACGTGGCGTTTATAATTTGGCGTAGAAATTGTTTTGAGTAGGCCTAGCCCCTAGGCTTTACCCTGAAAAAGTTTAATGGTCGTCACCAGGATCTAATTGTTCGCTATGACACTACAGTGTGAAAGTTGTTGACGGATGTTTTCCTTGTTGGGTGTAGACCACCATTTGATACTACATCTCTCGAGAGCACCACTTTTATTAAGTTTCATTTCCGGGATGTTGTCTACCGATTTTTTTTCACCCGATTTTATCCTGTTCATAGATTTTCTGACTGGCTTTGAGACTTTGGTATACTCGGCTTTTAAAATTATTGAGGGAACAAAAACACAAATTAAAATTATAGTAATAAAACCTTTTATTTTTACTGATCACAGAAAGGCATCAAATCTGTGTTTAATTACTTACAGTAAACATACTGTTACAAAGAACACATAATATCATTTATCTAATATTGACAGATTACTTTCTCTTCTGTTCTGTTATCGATTTAACAGATGATCTCAAACTGACAAGGTGTTGATATTATTTTGCTAGTCTTTTGATTAAAATTGAATTTTTAACGAACATGTTGTATATAAAATCATTACTAAAATACACAAAACTATAAAAAGGAAATATACAAATTACAAATGTATTATTATGCAATAAATATACAAAGAAAAGCAGTTGTATTGAATTGGCAAGTAATAAGAAAATAAAATTCCTTTAATAAAATGCCATATAGCACCATTTGTAGAGTATTTATAAATGCTTTTAAAATGAATCACAATTTAAAAAGAGAAACCTATTTATAAGAAAGTGGAAATAAGTACACAAGTCATATAATACTTAATAAAACTAATATGTATATAGTTTCTAACAAAAACATCTAATATAACAGGCTACTTTCTTAGTTGTCATAAAGTTTATTGGTTATATTGTATTTATAATTCTTTCTTAGAAACCTAGGACAGACCAATACTTATAATAGCCAGAAAGTAGACCATGTTACTAACTACAATATTCACGACTTTAATCACATACACAATTTACTGTAAATACTGTACATGTCTGCTATAACTAATTAAAATCTACTCCAATTCAAAAACAAATACAAGTAAAACATGTTACACTTTCTTTCAGTTATTTTAGTCTTAAAGTTGAAAATATGATAATTTTGCAATGAAAGAACACAAACAAGTACAAAGAACAGGAAACAACCATACGTTTAAACAGACCTACATTCAAATCATAATGTTGGATAACATAATTACTGAAATCTTCTGCAATCTTTTCTAGATCTCCAAGAAAATTAATTCAATGTAGGCCGCCTCAGTTATATGTCGCTTCACTATCTGTTTGCTTAAAAACTAGTTGATGAGCAAAGACAATTATTATGCAAGTTTTACTTCAGTCTAAAAATAAACATTTTTGTCCTTTGTCAAAATTATGCACATTTTCTAGCTAAAAGTAAAGATGAACTATATAAGTTGAAATTAATTACAAGGACGGACATTGTATCCACCAAGAACTTCATTATCTTTCCCTATATTTAATGGACCTTTCTTTAATATGTTAATATCACTAATACACCCATTATAATTAGATTTATAATCTCCATCTGTCATTTCCGTTATTTTTGGTACACCACCTGAAATATAAACATCATATTTAGTATTAATGTGAAATTTTGGGGAATGTCTATGCATTATGAGGATACCTGTTATTTTAATTTGGAAATGAGGGATATTGATTATGTTAAATTGCTAATCATACATAAATATTTATGAGTGTTGAAGAAATAGGCTAAATTATGATATTTATACTGTAGTGATATTGATGTTTGAATTGAAAAAGAGTTGAACATATTCAATGTTTGGAATCATCAGGTAAATAAAATTGTAATACATACCTATATAAACATTACCCTGTACATTTAGAACTTGTAATCTACCAGGTGCTGATCCAGTTATAGGTTGTTCATTATCAACAGTTAGATTACCAGTGCGACCCAATCTATAATATATAATATTGATAATAACTCAGTGATACATACAGTTTTATAATACTTTACCTTCCACACTATTGTTCTCCATCATCTATGATTATTTGAAATTTAATTGTGTTCATGACCTTAAATAAGACATCTTTTAGCACTATTTTATAGGATATGACTAATAAATACAAATCATCTGAGAAAAGAGAATTAATCAGGGTCTTGGTGAAAGTCTCCATATAAGCATCATGTATATTCTTACCTAGAAACATGGATCTTGTGTGGATAGCCATCATTGACTGGTATAGTGGACATTATTATACCAGCTCCACTTCCCAACTCATATCTAAAATATACACATTCAATAGTTAGGTTTGTATTTAAGATGATCATTATGTGTAAAAAGGTCAAACCATATCCTAAATGTGTAAACAAATTTAACCAGTGCAGCCTGTAACATACAGGGTGTAAGTTTATTGTCAAAACAACAAAGTGCTTTTTGAAGTCAAGACAGTCAAGGAACCAGGGTTAAATTTGAAGATACCATCTGAATTAGATCAATATCAAATCACAGACCTACAGATTGGTATGTAGACATTTTATTGACTGAGCTCAATATTGAATTAAAAATTCCACAATTATCGTTATATAAACTGTAAAAGCATTGCAAAGCAAAGATGATACAAAATACTTACTTGTATTGAATATAACCATCAGATAATGAAATAGCTAGATAATCAGCACCGCGTAATGTAGAACCAGCATCTTGTCCCTGCCAGAACATTAATCCTTCTGATTCCACTGTAGTAATGGTGAATGAGATGTTTTCTCCAGCTTGTCTGATACGATGTGGTAATAATGATTTACTTAGTTCAATATAACCATCACCAACAAACTCTACAGCATTTCCCAATTGTACAGCTATAATATCAAAAGAATAAAATAAATGTCAGCCAATCATCATATGGCACAAAAATATCACATACTAACAGTTCTCTTGGAGAATAATACTAGTCTCTAAACAATTATTCCATTTTTACTGTTCTCATTTTTTGAATTTGCTTTTAACATATATGTCTTTGGTCAATTGCATGATGTGTTTACATTTAATTATCATACCTACTTGCTTTTGAATTTAATATTTAGAATCTTTTGACAATGTTTTAAAACTGTGATCTACCAGCATTTTCAAAATGTAACGTAAGTATGTTCCAGATATCTGTACAATATTTTTCATTGCGATTTAAGTAATATTTCACTCTATCAAGCTTAAACCAATATAACACCTTGATTACCATAATTTAGTATTTCCATTAATTTCTGACACATTGTATAGAAGCACACAGAAATATTTATACAAGTTTGTGATAATTACCTGATTCACAATTAAGTCCCATATAACCTAATGGACAATCACATTTAAATCCTGACACAGTGACGCGACATATTCCATTATTTCTACAGGGTTGTGATGTTATACAGATGTTAATTTCTGTTTGACAGTTGGTACCTAGAGAATATAATAATCATATTGTTAAATACAGATAGCTTAATACTTTACAGAACTATTGTGGCAATCTTGCAGAATATGTTGAGGGGAGATATTTCTTGCCTAATAGTAACTTATAGGTAAATTAGTGAGAGGACCATAAAAAGTAAAACAACAATCTATAATCTACTATTGAGATGTAAAAGGCACTATCACTGAAATCATTATGGTATTGTAATCCACTTACAGAGCTGATGAATACTAAATCTAATTTATAATTTAAGTACATTAAAGTAATGCATGAAGATTATTAATAGTACTATACCTGTAAATTGTGGTGGACATTGACAAGTATAGTCTGATGTTCCTCTATCATAACAAATACCATTGTTTAAACATGGTTTACGATCACATAAACTTCTATCACCACAATCTCGTACAGCAGAACTTTCTATAGCATCTTTTATTAAATCTATCACTTCATTGTTGATTTTAAGCTAGAAATAGAATTAGAAGATAGCTTGCACGGCAAGGTAACATACGCCAACTGGCAGCTGTCAGAAATGATAAAACAGTCTTTAGTAACTAAAGTATGAATTTTCTCATATTGAAGAAATTTTATTAGTTTGAATTCAATATATATATATATATGCCAGTTATTTATGCTGAGTAATTCCACAAAATTTTTAAAAATCAATATCAATAACCCAAATAAAAAAACAATTAAATCACACAGCTCTAATCAACGGCAAAAAAAAACTTTTGAAGCGTGTTTACAAAGTCAATGGCAATAACTCAAAAAAACGTTGATCAAAAATTTCCCAAGTTAGAACTTGTCCAAGATCTTATCAATGCCAATGATCACACCAAGTTTCATTGGAATCGGTTGAAAACTGTAGCTTCAATGCTGCTCACAAACTATTTTTAACAAATTTTGATGCGTTTTAACAGAGTCAATGGCAATAACTCAAAAATCTGTTCATCAAAAATATGTCAAATTCGAACTTGACCTAGATCTTATCAATCTAAAGCATCACACCAAGTTTTATCAAAATCAGATAAAAACTGTAGTCTCTATAGTGCTCACAAGAAATGTTGACGACAATATACGACCACATATTCCTGTGGGCGTATAAAAATATAAGATAAATATGAGAAAAAATTTACAAAAAAAACTGCTTGATGACAAGTCAGAAAGATGAAATAAGAAAAAAAAATTTCTCACCTCAGCAATACAGCCAACAAATCCTGACAGAGTTCCAACACTAGAAGATATAGAATCTTGGGGATCGACACCACCCAAATATAGCGGACGTTTCAAATTCAACCCAATTGTCTTGCCAGCAGACGTTACTAAAAACAAAACAAAAAAGTCAGCATTTAGATTAAATTTTATTCGTCAATTCCAATATGAAACAGTTTTATTTTGAACAGGTTATTTACAATTAAACATTATTACCTTCCCTTTCTTATTACAGAATTTTTTAAAATTAAGAATGATAAAAGTTTGAATAGAATATCTTGTATCTAAAAGACGACATAATGTTAATGTTAGATTCAAGCTTGTTTACATGCTGTGTTAAAACAATTGTTAAATTAGAACAAGAAACTGAAACAATGAAGACAAATAAGGACAGAAATAATAACATCTAATCATTCCTTCTTTTTTAGATCAAACATAGTTACAATACAACATCTACAGTAGGCCTATAACATGAATTTTTGTTACAAAACAGAAATGTTTTAGTTTATTTGTATCTGTAAGCTGAATTGTCCTATGGAAGGTGATTAGAAATAGTTTCTTGATTCATTTTTTAAGAAAAAAGCATCAATTTTTTTTATATGATGTTGTCTAGGTTGAATAAATATTTTAAATGTATATTCCTGCCAAAACAAATTAAAGAAAATTAGTAAGAAAATAAAAGGGATATAGTTTTCTGATTATGTACCTTACCAACTGATCAGCTATTTTAAATACATTATATAATTAAGATATGATGCCTTGATCACTTACAATTCATTTCCAGGCAACTATTAACCTTCTCATTGCAGATATTACTGCTATTATTAGGCCTGTGAGTATGTCAAGTGATAATATTCATATTTGATGCAGTATGTTTTTTGTTTAAAAAAACATTGATGCCTGTTTCCGATTAGAGTACAAATTGGAATAATGTGACAACAATTAATGAAACACTCCAAATAAACAAAGTACACTTTTAACAACACATCAATAATTAAACAAAAACCTCAAAATTAGAAACAACACTATTTATTTCTTTTTATATACAGTTATACACTTTTGTGTATAAAGTTTAAGTAAGTAGGCTGTTTATAATGTTTTGTTTATGAAAAAGATTTTTGTGAAAAACTGGAAAAACTTACCTATAGAATACAATTAGATGTGGCGCTGATCAGAATAGTAGTGTCTTAAGACAGTGTTGTGTTCAAAATAGCAATGTGTTAAGACAATATTGTGTTGAAAATAGCAGTGTGTTAAGACAGTGTTGTATTAGGACTGTGTTGTATTAAGACAGTGTTGTGTTAAGGCAGTAAAGTGTTAAGGCAGTGAGAAGCTTGTGGTTTTAAATCAAATAAAGATGATCTGATTTGTATTAATATCACATTTACAACTATCAAAACAGAAAAACATCAAAACACAGCAGCCAAAACACGAATCAATCAAAAGTAAAATTATAACTAAATCAACAAAATGGTGGGGACATGAAGCTTGGCTGACAAGAAAGAGAAAATAAAGCAGCATATATGGAAATTGGCAATAAATAAATAAAAATAATAGAACAATGATTTGAAGGTACCTCTATAGATATCTCCTCTATCTCGTCGTGAATATAAATAATCGTAGTTCACCTCTTGACGTTCTGGTTTTCGAGAGAGAAAAATAGTTTTATAAATAATCAGTCCAAAACTCAAAAATGCAGAATTATTTATAAATAGATAAACTGATTCAATAAATCCAAATTACTTTCAAAATTATTCTTTTCGGATCCTAATAACACTTGAACAATTATATTAATATAAATATCATCTTTAGATAAACAATTTCAGATCTTGGGACACATTATATTCAATGTTTAACAATAAAAATTTCAACCAAGTTTCTTCATTTTTTCATAAACCATAGGTAGATCAACCACCAAATGAACAACAATAGTCTATAAACAACTCTTACAACATGATGAACAACTCTATTATTCTTCATGGATAAATCATCTGCACATTCTGATTAACACATTGATTTAGATGTAGGTTATCAAGGTTATTTTTGAAATGCTGTATATACAGTTCAAATGTTTATCAAAGCATGCCAGATTTTGTCATAATTCCTTCTACCCAATCAAAGGCATTTTAAAAGTGGTCAGATAATACTATTCTTATCAGAAGTGAAGATGCAGAGTGTTGTTGGTGTGAGACAATGCCTCTTATCATATAATTCTCATATTTATTTTCCCATCATATCATCTTACAAATCACATTAAATATTTTCTCTTTCTTTTATCATGTCATGAATTTGAGGAGCTCAAGGATTTACAAAATACTCAACAACTAACTATTGATATCTCAAAGGATTCACTATGATATTCTCCAAAGGGTCACATTTGCGTAGGGTCATTATGAATGTCTGAAAGGTTCACAAAACGTGCCACAAGGTTCACTATGAAAACAAGGGGTTCATTTTGGTGTCAAAAAGGTCTACAATACTACAATGTATATTATGCAAAAAGATTCAAAAATACAAGAACAAGGATAGGAATTCATTATTTTAAAATACTATAATTGAAACTTGAAAGTGGACTATATATTAAAATACCTAAATATTCCAAATACTCAAACCAGTGAAAACAATGGAAGTATTCTATACCCTGCACCATTCTAAATTTGTAATTTCTATATTCTAATTCCTTAATTTATAGATTTATCAAGCTTCTAAGTTTGGTCCAAATTCTTATTTTTTGTACATTTATTATGACTTTTTAATATTGATATGATTTGTTGTTTTCTAATACTTTCTAAATCCAAAATTGAAACACATTTAAAAAAATCTGATAAATCTGTAAATTATAGAACAATAAGAAAATCTATCATTAACTTCTATATCTATATTTCACATTTACTGTCATATTACAAGTACATTTTACTTTCAATTATACCAAATAAAACTGTCCAAAATATAAACTGAGTTTTGCTTTGCCAATTTAATACATAATCATTAATAAATTACCATAACTGATGTACTAGAAATATGAAAGTAGATTCCAAAGCCGATCCTAAGAGTTAGCATTTCTAGATTTTATACTTCCAATGCTTGTACTGAACATTTCTTTTTAAAAGTTATTATCAATTCATTCAAAATATAAGAAAATAACATAAATAAAGTAACTCTCTCACCATTGACTGGTTCCTCATTATTGACCATTAATGTACCATCTCGACCTTCTCTCTCAGCTACTACACTAGTCCATTCACCTAACTGTACTGGTCGACGACTTCTTAATTTGGCAATTCCTAAAAATCATTATAATATTGTAATATTATCTATCTGATGTAGGTCTTCAGACAATTTCAAATTATGGTAAACTTACAATGAAAATTGGAATGAAATCTGAATATGTATTGTTTACAAGAGACCATTTTTTATGGATGTCAAAGAAATAAATATAAAAATTGAGGCTGTCAAACACAAAATCCTTTTAATCCATCAAGAAAATGAATGACTGTTTGATGCAATGCAAATATAAACCTTGAGTGTTTGTGTGCCTGAGAGTATAATTTACTATACCTGAACCAGTATCATATTTATATTCTATATGTCCATCTTTAATCAAGATGGCTACAAAATCGCCACGACCATCTTGTTGTTGAGCATTATATAAAATAATACCATCATCCAAAGAATTAGCTTTAAACATAATTTTAGCGTTCATCTGAAGAAGGCCCTTTTTAATTGTTGGATAAGAGATGAAAGATGTCTTGTTGAATGCTGGATCAATGATGGTGACTGCTGTGAATATAAAATGGTGGGAAATGTGCAGCATTCTCATTTAAATATTTCGGTGAAATTTACAAATGAATCTATTGACAGAAGTATTTGCTATATATGTACCTACCACATTACAACACTTTGGAATAAATAAAGAAGTCTTACACAGTTTTAACCTTTCATGAAACTTGAAGATTTAGAAACAATACAAAATTTTGCAAATCTCAACAAAATGAAAAAGAAAATGTTAATTTAGAAAAGCATACCTTGTCTACATCCTAGACCTGTTTGTCCCATTGGACAGACACATTGGAAGCCTCCAGTTGATAAGTCAACACATCTTCCTGTTGCACCACAAGCTCCTAAAGAGAGACAATAAAAATCATAATATCTCTGTGTTGCCAAAATCTATGTAGATTCCAAAACAAGAATGTCAGTGTAGCATATCTGGAGTGGCTTTGGGTATTTCAGACTCTGAAATTCACAGATGGGAAAATGCCTTGCTTTTCTTGTGAGACCCATCATAGTGGAAATCATATTTTTTGCTTCCACAACCAAATCTAGTGAGCACACTGAAACTGGTGCATTCATAAACTATCTCCAACAGGATACTTACCTACATAACAACTTTCACCAGCTACCTCACATCTAAAACCAGCATAGCCTCGGGCACATACACATCGGTAACCAAATTGGTTATTTTCTGGTATACAGGAACCACGATTTAAACAAGGTCTATCTTGACAGACATTATAGGATTCAATACCATAGATCTCTATAGCATCACCTCCCAGATTTAATGGTAAACCTTGTAGTTGAACCTGACTTACAGCTCCTGATATAGTAAATATATAATTAATTTATCACTTGAAATAACAACCTTTTTTGTCCCTTCAAATCGAACTATGTATATTCTTTAACATATAAATTTGATTGAAGATGGTCTACAAAATAGATCCATATATAATAATATATAGAAAAAATTATAATATGGTAACCATACCTACAAATCCAGAAGAATATCCTGCACTTGGTGCTATAGCTTGGTAATTTGGTACACCACCAAGATACATATTATCTGATAAACTTAACCCTTGGAACTGTCCTGGAGCAATAGAACTATAAGCTGGCTGATCATTCACAATCAGAGTTCCTGAAAATTAAAAGTGAAATCTATGTTTAAAGAAGGGCAAAAAAAACTGTTTTAGAAGGACGATCTTACCTTCAGTTTTGAAAATTGATCTTGGCAGTTTAGGGTTTATGTGTTTATAATTTATAAATACAATGGTAAATCAAGTATTAATTTTCTCATATATGGCCATAATTGTTTGACCTTATATATTTTGACAACCATGCATCAATATTTCTTGGGAAATAATATACGATAGAAATGGCATCTTGGTCACAAAATTCAAAAATCAAACCATTTTATCCTTACCATTCTTCTGATGTCTCTTCAATTGAACAGTGTGCCATTTATTCATTTCTAGTGGTTCTTGACCTCGGATTATAGCTGGACCAGCACCAACGTCAAATCGGAATTCTGGATAGGCACTATTTAATCCGAAACACATAAAGTCACCATTTTCATTGGCCTGTTGTCCATTATATAATAACATACCATCAGTAGCTTCAGGTCGGAATGATAACACTACATCAAAGTCTAAATATGCTGATTGGAGTGGAGCATAACTAATGTAGGAATTTGGATTCTGAGCAAAATATGGTACCAACGCTGAAAAAGAAAGGGAAATCAGTAAGATTCCAACAGAAATTATAAACCAAACAATATATATATCTGTAGACTTAAATATATTGGATACAAAATTGAATTTTATTTTTTTTAACTTACCACCAACAACTAATCTAATGGGGAATCTTACAGAACCATATCTATTGGCAGCATTACAGTAATAAGTTCCAGAATCTTCTTCACGAACTCGTTCAATTTCTAAATTACTGTCAATGATACGATGTTCACTGAAAAATAGTACCAAGATATAATCAATATATGTTAATAGGAAAAAACCAGCCTTGGAATTGTAAAACAAAAAATAATTAATATATCAAACAAACACTCTCTCAAAAAATAAAATCAAGTTGACTTACAGTATGTGTGACATAAGAAATTCAAAATTATCAGCCTGTACAGCAGAAAAAAACATTTAGTTAAATTTATAATGGAATAGACCAAAAAATATGTCAATAATACCTTGGTAAATCACCGTTTTGTTTGGACCATGTAACAACTGGTTGTGGATAGCCTCGTGTTTCACATGATAATGTTGTACTACTACCTAATGGTGCTGTTTTCATATCTCTTGGTGCAAACACAGTTGGTTGAGCTGTAAAATACATGATTCTATGTTAACTGATATTTTACATAAACATTGGATAAATAAGATAGAAAGGTTTGACCAAGTTATTCTCTAAGTCTGCTTGATGTTCTCAAGTTGCTGAGTTAATTATTCAGTTGGACATTGTCAAGTTTCTGGAGTAAATGATATTACAATAGTAATATGTGTATATAATATACAAGTCTCTATCTATACTGACCTCTAACAAAGAGTTGAACCTGTGATTGAACTGAACCAGCTTGATTAGTAGCTGTACATGTGTAGGTACCAGCATCTTCAGGTTTAACTTGTGGTATAGTTAAAACTCCTTCACCAATTACAGCAGTATTTGGTAGTGGACCTTCTAATTTAGACCATGTAACAGTTGGTGGTGGTGTTCCTAAATATAGTGTTAACAAATAGTATCAGACTTTCTTTTGAAATAGTTTTACCATTTAATAGTTAAATATTATTTGAGAAATATTTTGTGGTACTTGTTTTCAAAATGAACAGTAAAGCTAAGAAATTTAGAACCTGTAGGCCTACCAATGAATCAAATTTCATTTGATATTTTCATTTCACAATGTTTATATTGTGATGTCATCTTGACAACTATAGGATCAATTCCGTTGATTAATGGTATATTCAGAGGATGGCAAAATTGAATATTGTGATGTCATAGTGGCTGCCATGCCATAGCAACGATTGTGATGAACAGTCTCTTTCACAAGCAAAATTACTTACAAACCCAATAAATCCAATTAAGTTAATTAAGTATGACTTACCAGTAACAATACATTCAAATTCTACTCGATCACCAATATCAACTGTTTGTACTCCTTTATTTAATGACGAACCAATTCCAGGGGCAGCTATATGAAACAAAATCAAACACAGTTTAAACCTAATCTAAGATTCTTCATCTTCGTTGGATTTCGCTGTCTACTGATCAATATCATTATTGTTGTAATTACAATATTTCAGATATCAATTTTGCATGCTCTTAATGACAGTGCCAGTATCTAACCAATCAATATAGAAGATGAAGATGCAAGAACTTACATGAAACTCTGACGTAGGTAAAATCTCGTTCAGTACCACCCTCATTGAAAGCAGTACATACATATCTACCTTCATCATTAGATTGAAGATTATACAAACTGAAATAAAAACACATACAGATATTTTCCTTGAGGATAGAAATATTTCATATTTAGAAATCATTACCTCCAGAATTAAATACAATAAAAGCCCAGTCTAACTATTCTAAAACCATATGTTCTTTGATATCTTTATTACTTACGTGAGGACTCCATTTCTGATAGTATGTTGTGGGGGAAGTTCACCGCCATCTTTAGTCCATCTTATCTCTGGTGGTGGACTACCGGTAGCTGTACATCGTAATTCTACACTTTGTCCAACCTGTCTAGATATATCTCGTACATCAACAGATACTGCTGGTTTTACTAAAATAAATTGTAATAATTGTAACATGTAAGATGGATACTGATTAGTCAAGTTCAATCAATTACATTTATAAGCAATAAACAAAGATTTAGCCTTTAATATCGTGAAATACTTTTGCATTTCAACAAAAGATTAAAGCAATTGTTTTTCAATGAAACTCCAATATTGCAAGAAAAAGTTCAATTCTGCCTCATTCAACATCTAAATAAACATTGATAGCTACTAACCTGATAAAGCAACATCTGCATATCCTTCACTACTACCAGCAGAACTGGTAGCAATACATCTATACCGACCAGCATCAGCTGGTGTAACTTGACGAATCTCTAATACACCATTTCTTTCTACAGCAGCAGGTGAAATGATGCCATTGACTTTCTGCCATTCATAGGTAAATGGTCCAACACCTTGTGCTCTACATCTTAAAAATACTTCATCACCTGGTAGTACTTTAATATTACTTGGACTGATGTTTAATCTTGGAATGGCTGAAAAAAATTAATAATCATTAATCAGAACTTTATTCAGCATACTTTCTTAAGGTCATATATATCAGATGTCAGAAATTTCAAATGTAAGGCATAAAAAGTTCATTAATGAATTTGTAAAAAAAAAAACAAAGACGGTAAAAAAAAATATCATTATTTAAATCTATTTCCTCCTTTACAATTATTCAATGTACATCTATATTACTATTGGCTATGAACTTACCAGAAACAATAATATAAACACTATCAGTGTAATCTCCTCGATCAGTTTGTACAACACAGATATATTCTCCATCAAAATTAGCACCTATACGTGGTATATATAACACACCATTACGTACAGAGTGTCCTGGTGGTAACTGAGCTCCACCTGGTCTCCTCCATTTTATAATCTTAGTACGGAAACCTGAAATAGGTGTAACCAAACATTAGCTATCATACATTTTTGAATTTTTCAATGATTTATATCTTTGCTTTCATATATCTGTATCAATTTACATTTAAATACATTCTGATTAAAATAAAAAGAAGCCTTTCAAAAAAACCTTAGTTTATGTTTGTTTTTAATGCATTGTTTATGAATTGAAGATATGAAAATTACATAAACAAGTACATTTTATATCAAATACAAAGGAAAATGTAAATAAAATACCTTCAGCTGAGCAAGTTAACTCAAGAGTTTGACCTTCAACTGCTGTGATTCTTTCAGGACCAGCAATACTAACATAAGCTTCACCTCCTGTTGGTGGTGTTCCAGAATCAGTGACTGAAAAGAGATGATGTGTTACTATAATAATCATAGCACAAGTTCACATTTAACTGGATTGAAAATACATTTTATTTACAAGTAACAGAAAAATATATAAATCTTACCAGTCAAATCAACAGTGTCTTCTGTTTTGCCTCGTTCATTGGTAGCAATACAAATATATCGCCCAGCATCTTGTTTCTGAACATCATCAAAGATAAGAAGGGCGGAGCCGTCTTGTGGTTCATAAGCTTCAGGTAGAATATCACTTCGTCTTGGTGTTTCACTACGCCAGAACACATTAGGTGTAGGTGCTCCCTCTCCAGTACATTCTAACGTAACAGTTTCACCAACAATAACTGACACTCGACGACCAGGTTTAATAGTAATCTTGGGTGGACCTGAAAAATCACAAATTATTTTGATAATATTTGACCACATCTATGTGCTACCACTATATCATACTATAATTTCTTGTTACTTATGCATTATAATTTCAACTCAATTTATTTAAAATGGATTAATTAAATTAGTGAAGAATAACCATATCTGGTGTTGATTATTGATAGTGGATCTGTACAACTATATTAGTAGCTTATCTGTACAGTTGTATTATATTATTTACCTTCAATACGTAAAGAGGCTGTACCAGTAACTGTACCAACTACATTAGTAGCTGTACAGATATATTGACCCTGTTCATCTCCAGTTACTTGTTTAAACATAATCACACCATTACCATCCATTATGTCAGTTGTTGGTGTGAATGCTTCACCATTAGCTCTATTGAAAAATAGAAAAGTTATAAATATAATTTCTCACACAAATTTACATTATATGGGTTCATTCAGATTCATTTTCTAGTAGGTGATGTACAATCTATAAACTAGGATAATTATTGACTTTAAATCCTATTCGTCTAAATTTCAAGATCTATTTTCAATCTAAAATCTTTCATCTTTATATTTCATTGTGACCAAGACATCAAAACATCAAGAGATTTCTATTCAGTCAATATTTACTACTTCTCTTACTCAGCTGGAGATCATTTTGGTAAAGGGCAATGTTAACTCATCACTAAGTCTACACTACATTACATTTTATTACATGCTTCATGCAACATAAACATGAGGACTGAAATCTGATGTATCTGAATGCACAGGTTATTGTTCATAGTTTTAATTTAGCTCTTTAATAAAACAGTTAATGATTTAAGCTCAAGGCAAAATTTTAAAGCCATTCAAATTGTGTTGAAGGGACTGTAAAGACAATTCTAAATTTTGTATGTGTATAGGGGACAATGATAGCATCAATTTGCACCATTCCAATTTTCAATCAGACGTCTCTGGTTCTAACAATTCTAATAAAACTAAAAGTGTTTTATGATGTCACCCTCACAGACGTCTTATGTGATACAAGCAAATTTTTCTGTGACGTCATAAAACACTAGTTTTAGTGGAATTGCAGAAACCACAGATTAAAAAATGGAATGATGGAAATTGATGCTATCAGTGTCCCGTTAAGCATAAAAATTTAGAATTCCTCTTTACAATCCCTTTAACAAAGTTAGATCCTTTATGGTCTTGTTAAAATCTTGAATTTGCAGCATCAGAGGTTATGAAGTTACCAAGTTGTTATTCCTGACAGTCACTATCATGCAGGACTTTAATTTTGAATGTGCACAATCAAATGCTGTTGGGTCAGGAAAAGTTTAATCATCATTTTGATCAACTCACCAAAAATATCTTGTATGTATTTATGGCATATTTTATATGTTAAAATTAAATAAGACATCCATGCTATCACAGCCAAATCAAGATCCATTTTTTTTTTATGAAATAGTATAATTTGAGAGAACAGAACACGATTATTACAACATCAAGAATTAGGTTACGTTAGTGTTAGCAAATAGCTGACACCACCAACCTTGACCAAACCACAGTGGGTGCAGGTGAACCTCCAGAAACACGGCACTGAAACAAGGCACTACCGCCTACAGAAATAGACTGACTCTGTTCTGGATAGACATCAATTGATGGTCTTTCACGTCCTGTAGTTAAAATAGAAGAAGTCTCAAGTTATTTCAGATTTTTGATAAATTTTCAAACTTACCGTGACCATGTGATATTAGGTGCAGGATTTCCACCTGATACACGACATTGAAGTAATCCATTGCCACCAATAGGTAAGGTAATAGATTGTTCTGGGTATATCTCTAGACTAGGCATTTCTCGACCTGATTTAACAGGAACAAACAATATTAAAATAATATGTAACAAAATGATATCTTTTCTAACATTAATAATAAATAAAAAAAAAAAAAAACAGAAATAACATAAATCTGCCATTCAGGCATAAATAAATAAACTAAAACCAAATATTTAAATTTTATAAAAATATTCATACGTTCAACATCAATGATGGCTGAAGCTTGGGCTCTTCCTGCAACATTCTCTACCATACAAACATAAATACCACGGTCTGCCATCATAGCTTGTGTTATTCTTAATATCTCTCCATTAGGCTGAAAAATATATAACATGTCAATTGGTATCATGATTATGCTGTGGGTTTTTTGTGTTTGCCAAAACTTTTTAACAAATGATCAGATGGCATTCTTATTGGGTTCGTATTGTTAGGATACATGACCATGTTCAAATGTTGTTTAATTATAGCCTAACTACGTTTTTACCATCCATTGTGATAACCTACTTCATGGACACCATCAATAGTTGTTATCAACTCTGACACCTGCTGATTGTAGGTTAACAAGAAATTTTCCTTTTCTTTGGCTCTAAGAGAACAATGTTACTTACAACATGGTTATCATTAAGTTCTCCACGAGCTCTAGACCATGTAACTGTTGGTTTAGGTTTACCAGTAGTTAAACATCTTAATGTTCCAGTCATACCAGTACCAATAGTCTGCATGTCAGGGTCAATACGAGCTGTTGGTGCTTCACCTACACAAATCAACGTAATATAACATGAAAGATATGTGATGTCATTTGGTAAAAAATGCTTAACATGCTGTCAAGTCATACAGTATCAAGTATTTAGTTGCCTGGTATAGACACCGGTTATGCTGAAAATTATGGTAAAGATAGCTTGCGATGCAAGGTAACATACGCCCACTAGCAGCTGTCAGAAATAATTTTTCATATTGAAGAAATTATTTATGCTGAATAATTCCACAAAATTTTTTAAAATCAATATCAATAACCCAAATACAACAAACAATTAAATCACACAGCTCTAATCAAGGGCAAAAAACAACTTTTGACACGTGTTTACAAAGTCAAGGGCAATAACTCAAAAAATGTTCATCAAAAATATCTCTTGTTAGAACTTGTCCGAGATCTTATCAATTCCAATGATCAAACCAAGTTTCATCAAAATCGGTTGAAAACTGTAGCTTCTATTGTGCTCACAAACAAATTTTGACGCGTTTTTCATAAGTTAATGGCAATAACTCAAAAACATTTCATCGAAAATGCGTCAAGTTAGAACTTGTCCGAGATCTTATCAATTTCAATGATCACACCAAGTTTCATCAGAATTGGTTGAAAACTGTAGCTTCTATTGTGCTCACGAACAAATTTTGACGCGTTTTTACAAGGACAATAACTCAAAAACGGTTCATCAAAAATGCATCAAGTTAGAAATAGTCCGAGATATTATCAATTCCATTGATCACACCAAGTTTCATCAGAATCTGTTAAAAACTGTAGCGTCAATCCTGCTCACAAACTATTTTTCACAAATTTTGACGCGTTTTAACAAAGTCAAGGGCAATAACTCAAAAACCATTCATCGAAAATGCGTCAAGTTAGAACTTGTCCGAGATCTTATCAATTCAAATGATCACACCAAGTTTCATCAGAATCGGATGAAAACTGTAGCTTCAATCCTGCTCACGAACTATCTTTAACAAATTTCAAGGTTTTAAGTCAAGGGCAATAACTCAAATACCGTTCATCAAAAATATGTCAAATTCGAACTTGACCGAGATCTTATCAATCTAAAGCATCACACCAAGTTTTATCAAAATCAGATGAAAACTGTAGTCTCTATAGTGCTCACAAGAAATGTTGACGGACGGACCGACGGACAGTGCCGACGACAATATATGACCACATATTCATGTGGGCTTATAAAAATGACAAAACTTACGATCAACATCAGGTCTGACATCGACTGTAGCATAGCCTGTACCAATCTTACCACCAGGTGTTGTACCAGTACAGATATATCTACCAGCGTATGATGGTTGTAAGTTGTTGATTGTTAATACACCATTGATATCGGTGGTACCTAAATATATCAACAATAAAAAATATGAACTATCATTACAATAGTAAACTGAGTAAATACTTTTGCGTTATATGTTTTGTTAATATAGAGCAATTCAAAATTGTTTTGCTTCATATGGGTGTATAAATCTATGCTTAAAACTGATGAAAATGACTTCAAACAAACCTGAAGGTAGTCCACCATTCCTACTCCATACCAATAAGACATCGCCATTCTGTGCGTAACACTCCAATGTAACACTAGAACCAATAGTACCGATAACAGTGGCTTTACGTACTATAATTTGTACATCAGGTTCAGCTTAAATAACAACATGGATAAGTGGTAGTGAGCACAATAACATAATAGAGAACAGATGAATCTGAACCATATCTATATAAGGATTTTCTGTACAACAAGGAATGATGATTGACAGGTTTCTTTCAGCTTCATGCTAATAATTAATTATTTACTTATTGTCAATTCATTATCATGACAGCTTATACAGAAATATCTTGTGATAGTTAAATTGGGTTTTTTAAGTCCAATAAATAATATACTTACTTGCTTCACCAGTAACATATACAATAGTTCGTACTTGAGCCATACCAGCTGAATTAGTAGCTTTACAATAATACTCAGATTCATCACTCTTAGTAGCTGACTCAATTCGAAATACTCCATTTACCACAGATACACTACTCTGTACAGGTTGATCATTACCACGGAACCATTCTATTGTTGGTGTAGGACTACCAGTAGCAGTACATGTTAATTCTACTGGTTCACCATATTTCACCTGGGCATATCTTGGGTCAAGTCTTATCACAGGACTTTCTTCACGATCTTCAAACAAACAATGTTCATGATTAAGAGATCACGAAAACAATTTTCATCTTCAATTACAAGATATATTTTAAGGGCAGATATAGGTGATTATTGTCTAATCTTACATCAAATTGTGTTAAATTTCAAGATTTGTGTTAAATCAGATGGAAACAAGCTGCTACAATATGAAAATTCTGAACATACCTCCTACTCTAATGATAGCAGTAGCACGATCAACACCAGTAGGATCTGATCCTGTACATGTGTAGGTTCCAGCATCTTCAGGTTGAATATTAGGTATAACTAGTACACCATTCTGATCTATAGCTTTAAGTGGTAACCCTGATCCATTCATTGTCCAGGATAAAACATAAGTAGCCTAAAATAATTAACACAAAATCTGTTTACTAACTGCAGAGGTCATTCATTTGGGAGTCTCTGTGTTGAAATTTACACTAACAATATTTCTAAGAAATAAATAAAGTAAGTTTAAAACTGACCTCATCACTGTATGATACAGCTCTACATACAAATCTTACAGATGTTCCTACATCAACATCAATTTCTGTTGGTGATTCAATGATAATTCTTATAGGCTGTTCTGGTCCTATAACAATACGGTAATATATTAATTATATCAACTGTTATTCAACAATGTCTTCTTGTAAATCTGTATAAAGTTTTTACATATATCTTTACATCTGATCCAGACAGGTGCATCAGACTTTTAATTTTGGTAAACTCACAATTTATGTTTTTGTGATCTAGAAGACTAGCAGACTCTAAATAACCTGCTTTTTAAGTAATGGAACTACATGTACATAATGAAAACTTTTTATCTTTATCCAATGTAACTGTAAATTGTGACATAAGTACATACTTGTAACAGTCAGTTGAACATTAGCTCTAGTACTACCATATTGGTTAGAAGCTGTACAGACATAGCGACCTTCATCAGAATACTGTATATCATTTAATATCAGCTCATATCTCTGTGTTCTAGCATTACCAGATAATGGTCTACCATCATTTCTACTCCATACCACATTAAATGGTCCTCTACCCTGTACATTACATTGGAACATGACAGTGGCACCCACATTTTCTGAGACACGAATTGGTGAAACAGTAACTCTTGGTCTGTAATCAACTACAATAAAATACCGAACAATATCAACTTTTTATCCAAAAAGAGAGAAAATGTATATGTTTTACAATGTCCAGATATAATGGTTCGTATGCATTTTTAGTGTGAAAAATCTTATCGTTCATGTCATTAAATTATTAGATAATCTATGATAAAAATATCCAATTGTAAAAAATATTGTCTGCTCTATGAAACCAATGGCCTTCAAATGAAAATAATTTACCTTCTTCACGTTGACAGGAACCACCAACTTCTCTTGGGTTACCAACGTAACCTGGTGCACATCTATAATTTAATAGCAGATATCATTATTATATCAGCTAATAAATTATTTTAAGTCCTAATTAAAGGGGACCACTGTCCTAAAGGTACTTATATCATAATCAAACTGAATAAATTGATGGCTTGTTTTATATCAATCAACTTTTATTGCCATTTGACCGAGAAAAAAAAATTGAATATTGAAACACTTACTCTCCACAATCACGTCCTGTATATCCTACACGACATCTATCACAAATAACTTCAAAACCAGGATCTAATCGACATGTTGGTGAAAATCTGAAAAAATAACATATATATTCCATCAGTAAATATGTGAAATTCATAAGACCAAAAATCTATAATAAATTCACAAAGTTTTAAAGTTTTAATTTTTTTTAGTTTCTGCAGTAAATAATAATGGTAATTGTACATCACAAGATATTAATGTACAAACAAACAAACTACATTATAGAGGAAGGCATTATATATATAAGATGTGAGATTTTCAAGCAGATACAATATTGAACCAATATTGTACAAGATGTTCTTAAGGAAAATAGGATGAAAAAAGATGGGTAATGAAACATACTCTAACAAGCCTTCAGTAACTTGCAACAAACAACCTAAATATCCAAAAAATAGGCCAAGTTTTAAACCTAGGACTCCAATAGTAGTTCCTACCAGCTTTGTATCTCTTTTGAACAATGATGTACATGATGAAAATAATTCTAAAATCTTACACAATGACTCTTCCTTGTGTAACAGACAAAATAATGGAAATTAAAATAAATCCAAAATAATATCTTTCATCCATTTTCCAATGAAATAATCATTGTATTAAATGTTTCATTCGCATACTAAAACATCTTAACTCAGACACAATAATCCACCAGTCTTTCTATAATTTGCTTCATAAACACATTCCAAGAATTATCATAATTGGTATAAACTGAGCGTCACATTTAAATTTACATAATCAAGTCATCAAGCATCAGCCAACTAACATTAGAAATATATTTTCCCATGAAAAAAAAAACCATCCACTCCACTGTTGAAGATTAACATTTGAACTAGAGAAAATAATCAAAGTAAAGAAGGAGTCTGGATTGTGAAGTAATCTAACTGGTATTTCAGGGTCAGATTAGTTAAATGTTATATAATCATAAGTTGAAAATGTCAGATAGAATAACTGTTGCTTTCTACAACAACTAGTCCTACCATAACCCAAATAGTTGACTGTTAACATCACAATATACATACAATTATTCATTTAAAGTTATATGTTATATATAACCCATCCCTCCCACATAGTTCTCAGATATTTCCATCTATCATTAAGTAGGAAATAGGTTTTATATAGGCCAATGTCAAACTTCGTTATTTTGTTACTAAGTAAACAATTTGGGCCTGTAAAATTTTTACTTTGTCAGAATTATAGAAATTTTGATATAGGATTTCTTGATACATAATCTATACCGCCTAATCACAACTGGCTGATTTTCTGTGGTGCAAAAAAATTATCGTTTTCACTAAAATAAGAATTTAGCTAAAAACTACTTTTCAAAGGATAGTAAATTTTGTATGCGAATCAAATTTTGTGGGAGTCACATCAGAAAACCATTAGTTTTAGTGGAATTGCAGTAACCATAGCTATCAGTGTCCCTGATAAGCATAAAACATTTAGAAATCCTCTACAATCCCTTAACATCTAATAGGGCCTACTAAACATATCAAATAGGGCAAAAAAAAAAAAAAAAAAAAAAAACTTCATTACAAAGACAGCTCTTCAATCAATACTTTTCTCATATCAAATTATCAAACAATATAGAATGCAGTTTTCATAAAAAAGCAACATATCAGTGCCTTTGATCTTTTGAAATTGAAGTTTTAAAGGGACGACATATTCCTGTCAACCAAATAGTGTAAAGAATGATTCTTTCCCATTACAACACCATTTATTATACTGTCAAAATAATGATATATTATCTAATAAGTTATTACTGATACTGGCAAAAATTAACTACACAACATAAAATAGCACAAGATAATACTGCTTCTAACATTTATTAACTGTCATTTCACATACTCCTACAGGCAGTATTATCATTTGTATTCCCTTCATAATGTGAATCAATGAGTTAATAAGGTCATATATAGTATATCTATATATCTATATATTCTATGCTACTTTATCTATGACTATGTCTGTATGTCATATAAACAGTGCACAGCATAATCTTGCAGTTAAAACTTTTAAGAATTCTGATTCATCCAATTCTGTGATCCATCACAGATAAAAGTTATCTTCTGTTGTCTCAAATCTAGCTTACACATAGAAGCTTTTGAAGTCAAAATTTGCACAAAACTGTTGTGTCCCTATCAATCAATAAATGGAGGTCATTTTTGGACTAAAGAGACAGGAACAAATAGAATAACCTGAACATATTTGGTAAATTTGGTCAATTGTTTGAAATGCTCTAAGTAAGATATAAGTGTTTATAGTTATTGTTTCCTAAAGAGAGGAAATAACTTTGATTTAAGAAATGTAGGAAATACAATAGTGGGTGAATATGAAAGGATATCATTTTATGAATGAGATGAAGAAGGTTGAATGAAAGTGTTGGGTTGTTAAGAAGTATCTTGTAATTATCAAGGTTAAACAAGTCGATTTGATACATTCTAGTTGTTGATCAATCCATATTCTTATCAGCTTTCACTAAAAACTACCATCAGGGACAAGAATAGAATATTGGTCTGTGATATCAAGGATTAGATCATGTAAAAGCTTTATATATAAATACCTAGAGGTCAAGGTTGAAAGTTAACACATCATGTGGTTGGTTGATTGGTGACTTCCGAACGTTTGGGATTCATGGAATCAACTGGACATTCAATAAAACAAGTTGGAAAAGAGTTCAGAATAGCAGAGAAGGAAATAGATGACCATGACAGGCTTTAGAGGTCCTCGATAATATTTATCCAAATTTGCATGTAAATGGACAAATTTGAGCCCAATAAGGTGCAGAAAAGTATGAAGTAAATATCTCTTCATTTTTGATTTTGTCTTGTGACTAAATGTGTACTCATTATTATCCACAGAATAGACTGGTCAATATCAATCATTGGCTTGTAATATAATGAAATTTTTAAATAGAATGAAAGACTGGGGTCATTTGATGTATATTGAAGAATATTTAGGCAGAAGAGTTTCGGATGACATTACTTACAAATATTTTGGTTTACAAGCAAGTTTGCATGCATGATAACTAAAGCTAAATAACATGAATAAATGACAGTAAACATGCAAAAGCCATAGTAGTTCAATTTCCAATTACTATAAAATTAAGAATTGTGCATTTGTAATTCATATTTTTTGTGAGTTATAAAATAGAAATAAATGAAATGCCAAGCCTTATTCTAATGAGTTATGAGTTGGTTGGATTTGGTATTTGCAATTGATTGTCTTTTGCACATAGAAATATTTCATATAATATCTAAACATTTGTGAAGTCATTACTCAAAAACCTGTTTTTAAACACAGCCTGAATATGTGTGAAACATAAATGAATTGAACTTACTGATTGGAATCTACTGTAAGTGGGCAGGCACATCTTCTACAATCATTGGGTGTTCCAGCTGTAGGATCACCATAGTAACCATCAATACATCGCTCACATCTATCTCCTTCAGTATTATCTCGACAATTCTACAAAAAACCAGCTTATCATTACTTATCTTCCATAGTGGTAAGAAACTGAGGGATACTGTCACAAGAACAATGTCCTGAAACCAATCTGCACAGAGGTCATGAGAATATTTTTTCTAGAAACAGAAAATAAACTTACCAAACATTTTCCAGAGTTGGGGTCACAGGAAGTAGCATGACCATTACAGTTACATCTTACACATCTTCCTATAGCTGATCCTGAATCCTGTACTCTTAAATATCCTGCAGCACATTCCTGTTCAAAAAATCAAATGGTATGTGTAAAGTGTTTTAATCATAAGAAATATAGCTTGAGAAAAAATGTCAAATATTACAAACAAATTGTAAAGCAAATAAAATATATTCCAAACAATCTTTTACTCCATTAAACATACAGTGATCACATTAAATAATGGAACACAATTCTATGGTATACTATTCTTGAGTTTTATTGTACACGACGTTTCAACAATTTACAATGTGATCTTCAGGTGAAATGAGAAAATATAAAAGTTATTTATTACCTGACAAGATAATCCAGTATAGCCTTCTGGACATGTGCAAGATTCTACTTCTGGTGCACGACGTCTGCCGTTTGGTCCTGGTACAGCAATTTCCATTGATAAATCTCGTAGAGTGATACTGTCCATCATGGAATGGTGTGTAGCTCTTATTAACATACCATCTATTTTAGCTAACATAGCCAGGAATGAACCTCGACTTGGTGTTGATCCATCTAACATACGGAAACTTTCCTAAAAGATTTAGGTTTATATTGCATTAGTCCCCAGCAAATAGGCATTAGTCTTTTCTAAACAGAACATGTACATTCATGAAAAAACTGTAAATCAATTCATACTATTCAAATTTTGTTATTGAAATATCTTTTTTCATAGCAAAGTTCTGTATGCTTTCATACTACATCTGTTGTATACCCAATTTCTTCACTACTGTGATTCCTATGTGATACCTCAAAACTGAAGATAATATAGAATTGTACTGATAAATAAATAAACCCTATGCTAAATAACCTTACCTCTCGTAATAAGATGTCATATGTATTGGTCTCTTGTGGATTTGGTGAAGGATTCAATAATAAGTATATTCTTTGGTTGTTGCTCTGAAGTTAAAATTCAGTGAATAAAAAATGTCACAAAATTTCATTGATATGTGGAACATTGAGGACATCATAATATCTTTACATAAATGATAATACATACACAAATTGCTTTATTAATATTCTATATGTTTATATGAGGATTCTTAAATGATATCTAAAATTTATTTGATGTAGAACTTTCAGCAATAAGCAATCTTTTGCAGATCAGAAACTTACAATAATTTCTAAATCAACATCCATATATTTCTGTCCTGAATCAGCAGCAGTATTATATTCTAATGTGAACTTCAATCTTCCACCATATGATGTTACCTGAAAATACATCCATTCGTAAAATCTTCTCAAATCTGTGCTCAAAACTAGATATAATTTGATATGGCGAACAGGTTGACCCAAGGTACTCAATTCAACAAAAATTTGATAGTGGTTCAAGAAGGAACAAGTCCTCAATAAGACAGGTCAGACATCCAAAGTTTAGACATGAAAATACCAGATCTGTATAAGACGAAAACTTTTGGAGTGAAAGAAACAAACATCAAAGACAACCAGAAACCAATTAACCAATGGAATTAAGACCATAACAAAACAAACAAACGTTTTTCTCCGATTTCTCCACCACCAAATTTGTTAAAAAAAACAATCCCCAAAGCAACTTACAAGCCATGAAATAATCAACACCTAATATGTTAATATTCTTACCCTAATCTAAGTCTGCTTGAATTGAAATAAGACAAAAAATTGAGTTGCAATTGAGATAGGGACATTCAAAAAATACAAAAAAAAAATACATACATTTTTTAAATTTTATACAGAAGACCTTTATCTGGCCTAAAGCAGTCAAGAGTCAAGTATTTCTCAAATAATCTGATAATATTATACTTATAGTAAGATCTGAGGTCTATTTGAAGTATATGTTTTTCAAAATAGCTGAAGAGAGAAACCGGATAAAACTCCTCATCAATATGATATGGGCTTACTTAAATATGACCTTCCAAAGATTTAAATCATAATTACCTTGTCACCGCGGAACCTTGGGGGTACTTGAATAAAAAGACTTTCTCTTTCTCTCTGTACACTAGCAAAGTTGTTAAAAGTAATTTGGTTTCTGGAGCCGTCCACTGTAAAACCATCTTTAATCATGCGACTTAATCTTCTATTGGTTAAACCAAAATTATGAGATCCATCATTAGGGAATGTTGGTGTTATCTACAATATACATTATCAAAATTAACTTGGATCTCAGTTGATATTTTGCAATATTTCCATCTAGACATTAAATCCATAAATATTAATATTCTACACATTCATCTGAGAACAAATTATATTGTGTGTGTTTTTAACAAATATCCAAAAAATGGACAACTATAATGAAATTCAAGAATTAACGACATCTAAAAAGTAATGATATAGGCCATTCACTGTTTCAGTGAAAAAGAAGAGGGATGATTTTTAGATCAATTTTTTTTCTTACTTTAGGTTTTTCATTAGTCAATGTGAATAACAAGGCAATATTACTTACCACATCTCTATAATATGAGGAGCTAGTACATTGATTAGTTATACCCATACAATTACAGGCTAAACAACCCTCTTTATTCGATCTATCTAGGAAGAAATGTCCTGCTTTACATGATCCACATCTTAATCCTTGTACATTAGTCTAAAATAAATAATTTCACTTTTAAATTCACATAAATTTGGAAAGGGCCAACTTTATACCAATGTTTAAACCTTTTTTCCTTTAAGAGAGGAACCTACACAGACACCAATCAAAATTGCTACCAAATTGATGTTTCCCACTTCTTTCTTTTCTGTAGTATATACAGAGACAATATCTAGAGAGCAGTATGTTGGCAAAGGATCATTTTTTAACTGTTGGAAGGAGATTAGTAAATAATTTTACCAGTAAAGTAATCTTACCCTACACAAACACTGTCGAGTATTGGCGTCACATTGAGCATTAGGTATAGTTCCTCTAGGATCACAGTCACATTGTATAGCTATAAAATGAAGAAAGTACTATCATTACATACTAACTATTAGAAAAATATTTAACATAGATACCTTTATAATAAATAAATAAACAGTATCTCACAAGTCTTTTTTGAAGATGACATACATGTAACAGTAATTCTGTCCAACTTATGATCTTTATCTAATACAAATTCTGTTACTTACTTGACTTTCTACAAGAATCACCAGGTTGTAGAGGATTTCCTTCGAAGCCTTGTACACAACTAAAGTATAGAACAACAAACAAGATGAGTTGAAGTTGTTACATAGATATATTTTATCAAAAAATGCTTTGTTTTAGATTATAGGGCAAAAAATGTTATAATGTATTAGTTTTCAAGAAAAGTTCATACATAAGTTTAATTTTTGAATGGTCAAATAAACAACAACAAACCTTTCACATCGACGTCCAGTATGACCAGGTGGACAAGCAGTGCATGTTACTTGACCATCAGTATCTAAGATACATGTTGGACTGAATTGGTTAGGATATTCTGTGAGTGGACATGGACATTTCTGACAATCATTGATAGTACCACGACTAGCATCGCCATAGTAACCAGCTTGACATCTTTCACAACTATCACCTTCTGTATTGTGTTGACAGTTCTGAAACCATAGTAGTAAAATAATTCAAATATGTAATTTCGAACTACATTTTAAGTTTCATTTCTGTATTGAAACTTTACATAAACTAACCACCACTACTTCTTTATTTTACAATCTCTCAACAAAGAAATCTGTTTCAAACCTACCCTACAAACACCAGATTCTGGGTCACATTCATTAGAATGGCCATTACACTGACATCTGCCACACAAACCAAGATACAGACCACTACCAGTTCTAGTGTAACCAGTATCACAGTCCTGTAATATAGAAATTTACACTTAACATACCCATGATGATGAAAGGACAATGATGTGATATAATGGTGGATTCCATAGGCAATTCCCTATTTACTGCTAATTCTTGATTTGTCATCCAAAAAAGGTAATACGGTATTGATTGTGGGATGTTACAAAGATATTTATTTATTTAATATAAATAAAGTAATTACCTCACAAGACAAGCCTTTGTAACCTCTAGGACAAGCACATTCCTCTACAGCCCAGGCTCTATCTTGTCCTGTCTGTCTATTCTCAGCTACATCCAGAGTAACATCACTTAATCTGTAAAAATCCACCAGATATTGAGACACAGATTATTTCACAGGCGTCATTAAGTCACCTTTTAAGGTCAAAAAAAATATTACTTCTAGAAGTATGTTTATATCAACTATATGAATCATGTATTTGGAATGGTAAACTTTTTCAGAATTTTCATCAAATTGTCTACCACTGACAATAATCAACAAGACTTACGCCACTTCATCTGTTTCCTCAGTGTATGATGCTCTGATCAATATAGCATCTAAATCAGCCAAGGCCATCAATAAAAATTCTCGGGTAGCTGGCTGACCATCCATACGGAACCAGTTTTGCTACAAATAAATACATACATTTAATGTTTGGTATATATATTGCTTTATACCATGCTTTATTCAGAGTTTTCTGGGCAAAATAAACATAAGAGTTAGAGTCCTACAAATAATAATCCTTATATTACATTAACAGTGTATGTGTTTTCTTTGGTGCAAGAAATGAAATTCCAATTATTTAGTTTAGAAAATTTACCTCAAATAATGAAATCTGGAATGGTTCTTGAGAATTAGCTGGAACTTGTCTATCAGTTTTGTAGATTAAGTCAATATCATTTCCCTATAAAAAAAAAATAATTTGAATATTGCATCACACACAAAAAGTAATGTACAGAATATAAAAGTTTGGTCAAAATGTTAACAATTGTTTTACTGTCTGGTTTTAAAACCCTAGATAACTTTATCTTAATTCAACTTCATCATGGTTACAGAGACAGGTTTTCTTAAAAAAAATAAAGCCTGATCCAACATACCTTAATTTCAACAATAGGTTGTTCAATACTAATAGGACTGTTGTCAATACCAGGTCGATACCGTAAAGTAAATCTTAAATAACCACCATAGGCAGATACCTGACATAATAATACATACAGTTAGTCAATAATAGTAATTTTATTTACCAATGATTAAAATCTTACAAATCAATTATGACTCTTCAATTTCATATCCAGATATAAACAGTTTTACCTTATCTCCAAGGAATCTAGATGGTAAACTCCAGTAGTAGATTTCTTTAGGTTGATTCTGGAAGCCACGGTATACTAATTCTCTATCATTAGAATTAATAGTAAAACCATCTCTAATAGTTGTTCTTTGTAACATATCAGATAATGTAACTCCCATTCTATCATTGTTAAATGATACACCAATCTGAAAATATGTTGAAAATAAATACACATCAAACTATGTTATCCAATATAATATGTCCATTACCATGCATTCAATTCATTTACAGAACATTCCAAATGTGAATAATTATGTGCTTATAAATGAATCCAAAATGTCTGACCATTATTCATTACAACTACAGAAGTATTACTGTACAATTAAATCAGTGACTATAAGGCTAATATAAAACACAAATTAACATACCTGAGCTCTGTTCTGTAAAGTACTGGTACAGAATTCTGTTACACCCATACAGAAACAAGCTAAACAACCATAAGGATAGTCTGATGATAGATAGTATGATTGTGCTTTACACTGATCACACAGTTGACCTTGTACATTAGCCTGTAATACAGAGACACAGTTTGAGTATCTCCATTGTAAACATGATTTCAAAATTCAAGACCTTTGTTAGATATATCAGACTTAATAAACATGTTCAACAAAGAAATTCATCATCTTTGATTCCCTTTTCTATAAAAATTTGAAAGTATATTTGATTAGTTTGGTCAGACATGAATTGATCTGGTTGTATCTCATGATTTTACCATAATAGTTGTGCCAGGTGTCACGCACACAAAGCAGATCATGATTACTCTCTTCAAAACACCTGATGGTACTTCTCTTTCGTAGAATCCACTACTATACAACTTTTAATTCTTTTGGATAAGATTTTTGATGGATGAAATTGTCTTGCTTGTATAGATTTTTATAGTGATGTCTAGAACAGGATTATTATAATTACAACAATATTATACAAACCCTGCAAGTACATGTTCCAGTAAGAGGATTAGGAGTAGGAGATAAACTTCCTCTAGGATCACATCTTTCAGTCACTGTAATATAACATCAATATATCATTAAATACAACATCTTCAAACCCAACAGTGTCACAAGATATAGGAATATAGTTCACAAAACACAGTCCTTAAATCAGGCATTTACAAATGAAATTAATTACCATTAACAAACTAATGAAAGAATTGCCCCAACCCAACCCAACCATTTACGTTCCTGATTTTTAAAGTTAAAGATTGAGAGAGTTTTTTATTTGGATATCGAAGTTGTAAAGAAATAAATAAAGCAATCTCACCATCTACTTGAACACATCTATCACCAACAACTCTAGGATTTCCTTCAAAACCTTCAGCACATCGTTCACATTGTCTACCTTCATAACCATCAGGACAGTTAGTACAGGTTATTAACCCATCGTTATCTAATACACAAGTACTGCTGAACCTACAAATATACAATATAATTTATATCTCAACCTTATAACATACACAAGTAGTACTAAACCTACAAATATATCATATAATTTATATCTCAACCTTATAACATACACAAGTACTACTGAACCTACAAATATACAATATAATTTATATCTCAACCTTATAACATACACAAGTACTACTGAACCTACAAATATACAATATAATTTATATCTCAACCTTATAACATACACAAGTACTACTGAACCTACAAATATACAATATAATTTATATCTCAACCTTATAACATACACAAGTAGTACTAAACCTACAAATATATCATATAATTTATATCTCAACCTTATAACATACACAAGTACTACTGAACCTACAAATATACAATATAATTTATATCTCAACCTTATAACATAAACAAGAACTACTGAACCTACAAATATACAATATAATTTATATCTCAACCTTATAACATACACAAGTACTACTGAACCTACAAATATACAATACAATTTATATCTCAACCTTATAACATATACAAGTACTACTAAACCTACAAATATAGAAAATAATTTATATCTCAACCTTATAACATATACAAGTACTACTGAACCTACAAATATACAATATAATTTATATCTCAACCTTATAACATACACACACCTTATCAGTATAACTCCAGTGAATCAATAGTATAGTGCTTAAATTACTACCAGTTTAAATCATTTCTATTGCCCAAAATAGGCATAATTTGCTCACAATACTTACTGATTAGATTTTACTGTTAATGGACATGGACAAGCTTGACAATCATTAGGGGTACCTCTTCTTGGATTACCAGCATAGCCTTCCAAACACAGATCACAGTAGGGGCCTGTAGTATAGTCTCTACAATTCTACAAAAGATAATATATTTATTTGATTTCAAGATTTTGGCAATACCTTTTTTTATAGTTCAAAAAAATTTTACAGGCAAATATTTTAATCATTAAGTAGCCACAATTATCAGGTATGCTACCTTTAATACCACTACAATCTAATTAACACTTACCCTACATACACCACTTAATGGATCACAATCATTAGAATGGCCATTACAATTACATGGTACACATTCACCTAAATATCTACCTCTATTAACTCGATAGAAACCTGCTGCACATTGCTGAAATAGTCACAATATAATATACTTAACATACCCTTTAGTTTATATCTATTGATGTGACATGATTCATTCAATAGAAAACAACACTCTACTTTGTGTTACTGATGCTTTCCAGGAAATAACCACCAGTGCTGAAGGCTGAAGCAAGATTCTGTATCATTTCTGTATTTTGTAGCTAAATTTTTTTCTAAGAGACTATCTGATATTTTAGAAGACACCAATATAAGAGAAGAGTCAAAATGTCATAGTCATATTTAGAAAGATAAACTGTAACAATGATCTTACCTCACAAGACAGACCAGTATAACCTGTAGGACAACTACAATCTTCAACTCTAACAGCTTTACCAAATCCTCTTTCTTGTTGAGTTGTAGAGGACAATAAAACATTACTGATTCTGTAATAATAAAATACAAATAGGTTGGAACATTGCTTACTGAATAATAATTCCATTTCTTAACTATTCGTGAAGTGTGGGGATTTAAGCAAATAATCAACAGTGAGTGTTTTTCATCTCACCAAACTCTTTAATTCAACCAGTTTTTGTAGACCGTGATGGTAGACCTACAGATACTTATCTGGCTTCTGGTAAGTCGTTTAGTCTATAAAAACAACCGAATGCCCAGAAATGTCTTTCCATACTTTGTATCAGTTTCAGTTACTCTTTGATGGATTTTAAGACCCAAACAACTTCTTGATAATCAGAAAGTTCTGCGTGGACCTTCCTTACCTGGTTGATGTTTGTCTAGTATCGTAAGTTGCTCTTATTAATATACTGGTAACATTTTCTAAGACCATCATCAAGTCTTCTCGAGAAGCATATTCCGAGATTAATGTATCCCCTCTTCTTGAAGTTTCACTTCTATCCCAACTAGACTAAAATATCAAGTATCACTTATACTATTTCAACCCTATTATATTACAAAATATTATATTAAATGTGATCAAAGCTTCATTAAAAACAACAAATTTACAATTTCGATATCAAGGGACTGACTCTTATTATATTCCCTTCAGACATACAAATAAATCAATTACTTCTCTTTAACGATCTTTTAAACAAACTTGTTAATGATATTTTTAAAGCTATCTAAATAATATGAAGTAACATACCTCAGTTAATGGTATATCAACAGTAAATTGTGAATCAGGTCTGGCTTGTTGTCGACTTCTATGGTATAAGGTAATACCATTACCCTACATACAAATAAAAATACATGTATTATGTTTACTATAATTTTTCATAACATATTTTTTGTGGAAAAATCTCATCCCTGAGAGCTGTATCTCATTAGGATATGTTACAAATATAAACTCAAACATCAATAATTTCTCCTAATAATTTGTTTTGATTAAAGGATTAACTTTCATTAAAGGATAACATTTAATTAAAAAGAAATTCAAAGTAAGACTTACAGATATAATGACATCAGGATCTGAAGTAAGGTCACCAGATCTAAAACCTTGTACATCATAATATACTCTATAGGTTAAATCACCTCCATAACTAGTAATCTATAAAACATCCAAATATTTCATCAACATCAATATAGGATCAAGATAAATATTACCACATGCAAGATATATATTATATATATATATATATATATATATATATAAGTAAAATACAAGAGCTAATTAGTACATCACATAACAAAAGCCACTTGAACTAAACAAAAATTTCTTCTTGAATATAATCTAGTCCAGGAGGAAATTGTCACAACACTCATTAACAATTGGTTGAAATGATTGTTCTAAGAGTACCATATAAATACATGAAGCTCAACCTTAAGAAGAGGTTAATTAAACCTTACCCTATTGCCAAGATATTGTTTGGGTAGTTTCCAGTAATAACTGTCACCGCGAAGCACTTGTTGGAAATCTTGAACAGAGAATTCTCGTGTTGATGGTATGAATGTAATAAAACCTTCTTCAACTGGAAACAAATCACCTTTTCTTACCAGTTCTAATTTATTACCTAATGATATCTACAAATATAATATAATTATTAAAATAAGGGATGACATCTCTCAACACAATTCAAAAATTTAATTCAAATGTCAAAATAGTTGTTTATTTTGATTTTGAACGTATAGCCTGGGGTCAATCCTAACACGCTATGGCAAAGCATGTGGCTATGTATTTTGCTCTGAAGATAGATCTCGATGAAATACATGATATTACCTTAGTGTTATAAAGTCCACTACTGAAACATTGTTCAGTTTGTCCAAAACAGAAACATCGAATACATTCAGCCTCACTCTTAGCATCAGAATTATATCTTGGTGGTTTACAAATACCAGATTGACGTCTGACAATTATAATGGCGTCTGGTACAGCAAATATACTGCCTTTATTATTGATAGCTTCACAAGTGTAGGCACCAGAATCATCAGGTACAACACCAGTAATAGTCAATGATCCACGACCATCAATACTAGTTGATGTTACTCTATCACCAGATGGTATATGACCCCAGTTTAATCTCCATACAATCAGTGGAGTAGGTACACCAACAGCTTCACAGAAAATACTAAATTCACCACCAACTTCAACCTCAACATCTGGTCGTGGAGGTTTACGGATCGTTGGAGCAGCTAAAATAGGATTTGAACAATGTGAAATACAACATATGAATTACTGCTTTCAAAATAACTTACATTTCACAGCAATTCTGCAAACGTGAGTAACAACAAACTATCTAATTTAAAAGCAAAATCCTTGCAAAACTACCGGTAGATAAATATAATGGCTACTTACTGCAACCGATTTCATCCGATCTATCTTGGCAATCTAATTCTCCATCACATTGATAACTGGCAGGTATACATTGATCTCCAGATAGACAGTGATATTCATCAGCTCGACATGGATCACCAGGACTTCTTGTGGCTACAATAGATATCAATATAGATACAATTAATACATACATCTTATTATCTTGTATCATATTATCTAACTCAATATTAGTACCACAAGTAATAGTATCACTGGACATCTGTTTTCAGGATGTTGAATTACTGTACAAGTTCTAATAAACATCAATATTCATACTTTTTTTTTCTACAATTCTAGAAAAAAGTTCTGTCTTGATGGCACATTTTCTTAAATCACACCAAAATGATTATGTAAAAAGATTATAATTTAGCACTTCAATCTATTCAATCAGCCCCTGTGATATAAATGATACATGATCATTTAGATAAGTACGGTAGCAGTAAATCTAACACATATTGAATGTATCAATTTGGTGAGCATGTGTTTTAGTTGTCATGTGTACAACAGATATCTAAGGTAAAATGAATCTTATATAAAAGCTACCATTTAATTAGTATCAGATTATTATTTTCTCACTGTGTCATATTAAGAAATGTGTCAGAAAACAGAGTTTTTATTTGTATTGTTTACAATTATCACTTGCAAATCACCAACAAATTGAGGAAGGTAGACATGACATAGTCAAGAATGAAGAATAATATGAAAAAAATGGAAGATAATGAAAAGGAATGAGAGAAAGTAAGAAATAAAAAAACCAGTGTTTTAGAACTATTCTGCAATACCACACCAGCTAAACATGTAAAGAAGTGACCACCAGCATATATAATCAAACTTAAGGTGACTTCACACAAGTACACTAATAGAATGGAGCATTACATCCTACCAGACAAAAAAACAAAAAAGATGCTTACGGCAATTAGCTTCATCAGAACCATCACCACAATCATTGTCACCATCACATCTCCAAATCTTCATAGCACATCTACCATTAGTACATCGGAACTCATTAGGTTCACATGGTAAAGGTTCAGCTAAAATATCAACAGAAAAATGTTAAATCAGTTTTAGTCTAGGCTTCTTCCTTATTGTGGGACTTTGCTTTCAGCAAAGTCCCAGTTTGTTATCGAAATGTCAATTCTTTTTTTTTTTTTTTTTTTTTTTTTTTCGATTTTTCCACACCTTCTCAAGCAAAAGCTGCAACAGCTGCATCAATATTATTACATCTGTAGACCTTCTGTAGTGGCAACGTCGTAAATGAGTGTATATTTTGGAACATTTTTGCAAAAACGGAAGTGCCACAGGTCCACATGTGCAAAAAGTCGAAAATCGGCTCTAGAAGGCGCATTTTTGCATCGATTTTCTTCGGATTTTCATTTTTACAATCTATCTGTTATTTCTGAACTGATAGCACTTGAAAAATTACGAAATTCGAAAATTCGTAGCTCACTTTTTTCGATCAAATTTTTCAATTTTTTTGCAACTTTTTTGTTTTTGCATTGATTGATCTGAAATTTAATATGCAAAGGGGTATCACTAAAGTAAATAATATGTAGTTGTCAAATATTTAAATTTACTTCCGGTTTTAGACGGGGAATCAATTGAAAGTACAACCCACTTCCGGTCGAATAACTTCCGGTGTAATTGAAATAGGTCAACGAAATTTATGCTGTTCGTAAGTAAATGCTATTACAAAAAAACGAAGGAAAAAAAATCCAGACCGGAAGTGATACTTTGGTCGCCATATTGAAAAAACACACTTTTGTAAATCGAAAAATGGGGCCTCTATGAAGAAATGGGCGTGTATAATTTTGATGTGTATGTAATCTACAATCGATTGCCAACAAAAACTAGGAAGCAGATTTTTGAATTTCGCTTTTCATTTTTTGCAACTTCCGGTTGAAGTTTTTGCAAGTTCTATCTCGTGACCTTGACCTTTAATGACCTTGACCTTTATAGGGTTAAAGGTCATTGACCTTGACTATCAGTTGATAATTTGACATTTGACCTTCGACCTGTACTTCCGGTTTTATAGCGTTCCGAAAACAGCCAAATTCGCAACTTTGGACTGCTCTAGCATATGACCTAAATAACCTAAAGGGTCATGTTTTTCGGATTCTTAATGTGCTTCCCATGCTCTTTCCAGTGATATATAACAATCGTACTTTTAAAGCAAAATTGAAATTCTTGATTTTTTCATATTCGAGTGGTTTTTTACCATATTTATGTCTCTTTGAGCTTAGTGTATGTATATCTTATGATCTACTTGATGTAGAACCTTGAAATTTGGAACACAACTAGACATGTTAAATATGGATTCACTTATGACAAAAAAGTTGAGGTGGGCGTGGCACATCCGGGTTGAATTACTAATTGTTTACATTTAGAGGAAGGGGCATATCTCGCATAGGATACATTTGTTCAAAAAGGGACTTTGCACACAATTACCTCATCCTTTTGGCTAGTTTGTGTTAGCAACTCAGTTATTTCAGCTTTATAGTTCCAAAAAAGGAACGGGTTTTAAAATTTCCATATTTTCAATTTTCGATTTTGATCTTTTTTGACTTTTGTTGACCTATATCTTTTGACCTGCATGATGTAGAAGCTTGACATTTTGAACATAGCATCACAATTTAAATATCAATTAACCTATGCAAAAAAAATTGAGGTGGGCGTGGCACATCCGGGTTAAATTATTCATTATTGACATTTTTGGCCAAAGGCATAACTCGCAAAGAATACATTTGTTCAAAATGGAACTTTGCTCACAATTACGTCATCCTTTGAGCCACTTTGTCTTAGAAGGTCAGTTAGTTCAGCTTCATAATTCAAACAAAAAGGAACAGGTTTTGGAAATTGACTATTTTCAATTTTTGACCTTGACCTTTGATGACCTTGACCTTTACTGGGTCAAAGGTCATTGACCTTGTCTATTAGTTTATGCTTTCATATTTGACCTCTGACGTCTACTTCCGCTTTTATAGCTGTCCAAAAACATCCCAATTCGCAAATTTGGACTGCTCTAGCTCGTGACCTAATTAACTTTAAGGGTAAATTTTTGTGGATTCTGAATGTGCTCGTCGTGCTCTTTCCAGTGATATATAATGCAAAATTGAAATTTCTGAATTTTTGAAATTTCAGTGTTTTTTTACAATATGTTAGCTTCTTTGAGCTAGTTCTATGTATTTCTTATGACCTATTTTCTGTAAAAGCTTGGAATTTGGAACACAATGAGACATATCAAATATAGATTGACGTATGACAAAAAAGTTGAGGTGGGCGTAGCACATTAGGCTTAAATTACTTATTATTTACATTTTTATCAGGGGTATAACTTGTATAAAATACATTTGTTCAAAACAGGACCTTGCACACAATTACCTCACCCATTTGGCCATTTTGTGTGAAAAGGTCAGTTGTTTCCGCTTCGTAGTTCACAAAAAATATCAGGGTTTAAATTTTGCATATTTTCAACTTTTGACCTTTACCATTGATGACCTTGACCTTTGTAGGATCGAAGTTCATTGACCTTGGCTAAAGATTTATTCCTTCATACTTGATGTTCATCGTCAACTTCCGGTTTTATAATGTTTGTATTTTCAAAGTTTGAAGACTCATATCTAGTGACGTTGACCTTAAATGACCTTCCCCTTAACATGGTCAAAGGTCATTGACCTTGGAAATCTAATCATACTTTCATATTTTATGTCTGGCTTCAACTTCCGCTTTAACAACCTTCCAAAAAAGCGAAATTTTCAAAATTTTTAACTGCTTTAGCATGTGACCTAATTGGCTAAGAACGTTGATTTTTTCAGATTCTCTAGCAAATTGGCACAAGAGCAAAGTCCCACTCAGTACCACGAGTGGTTCTAGTATATATTTCTTTTGGATATTTTTGCTCCTAACAAAATAATAATAAAAAAAATTGTCTATTCCATATCCTGATCCTAAACTTTTAGCTATCAGAAACAATGTTTGTTGCCACAGAATAAATCAAGTATTGTAATGTACTTACCACATTGTTCATCAGAACCATCAACACAATCTTGTTCACCATCACAGATATAGTCTCTAGGTATACATTCCCCAGTACTACAGGTTGATTCATCACGACCACAAGGTCCAGTTGGTAGTGGACTTTCAGTTGGACCAACTACAAGATAAGTTTCAATATTCATATATATATAACACAACTGTATACGAAAAACCTCTGAAATTCTGGTCAAAAGTATCCTTCGGGTTTTAAGTTTCCTTGTGATGGAACAATACGATTACTGTTGTCTTGATTTAAATAAAGTTGCGTCCCTTTAGAAAACTCTCCAATTTATGGAAGTACATTAATGTAAACACCGCCATTTTATCCTTTATTTCATATTCTTAGACATTTCAGAAAGTGTTGCCTCTCACAGGGTAATTTCAGTTTATGTTATTGTAGATTTGTTTAATTAGCAAAGTGACTAAAATTTGATTATTTCATCTGTGTTCAGTTTAAAACATGTCATCATGTGAACTTCGTTTGGTGTAACCTTTAATTTTCACATGTAAGCTAGGCCTATTATATTGACAAAATGAGAAGAATCATAAGATCTGTACTTGTATTTATCAGTTGTATTTTGTATTTTTAGTTTTTCACTCTCTTCCGAGAGACTACTGTATATGGTTGTGTTGAGAGATATCAATAAAGCTTAAAACAGTACATTCCTCTTCTTGTTTTGGGAACATATTCAGATATTCAACTAATGGCAATAGATATAATAAATCTTCAGATACTTACTGAAATCAACAGCAACTCTAGCTGTAGCTGAATAATCTCCTCGTACACCAACAGCAGAACATATATAATCACCAGCATCTTCATTTCTAATACCTCTAATAGTTAATCTTCCATTACTATCAACAGCTCGTGATGGTAAACCCTTAATTATAGTACAATTTTAAACTACAGTATAAATGTATTTCAAAATGAACAAAACAAAACAAGGTTCCGTTCCAATCAGATACTTCCAAATGTCGCAAGATTTGTTGTCAATGATAGGTATTCCAAGTTATATCTGATTTTCAGTTTTCAGATAGTTAGATAGCTTAAAACGCTATTTTCAAAGTAAATCACGCCACCAAAAATCTTTCAGTTTATAATTGTAGCCGTCATCAGAAATGAAATCCAACTATAATTCTGAAAGCTTGTGAAATAAGGAATTGCAGATTTAGAATTGTAGAATTTGGTAATAATTACTTACACGTCCAGCTCGCTCCCACCTTACAGACGGCCTGGGTGAACCAGTTACATCACAAGTTACTACTACATCACGACCCTCTCTAACTCGAATATTCTGTGGAGCAACTGTTACAATGATTGGGTCTGAGTCTAAAACAGAAACAAGGAATTTTTCGTACATCCTACAAACTTGTTTAAAAACAGTAAGTATTTATATTAAATGGTTTGAACATTGACCATTGTGAAAACTCAAAAAAACAACAAGTCTGTTTCTCATATGGTATTGTCATGCAGGTGTCATGCTCTCTTAGTGGTTTATTAAAGAAATGTAAGTCAGATACCAAACTTACCACAATCCCTTTCATCACTACCATCTCTACATTCTTGTCTACCATTACAGCGATGTGAATCATAAATACATTGACCATCATTACAGGCATATTGTCCAGGTGGACATGTACTGGGTGCTGAAATAATAACTGCAAATCAAATGGATACCCAGAATTACATGTTAAAGGGGTATTCCATTTTTTTGTAGAAAGTTTTCATTATCAAAAACATCGTAAATTATACCTGAAATATTTCTAAAGTATGCTATTCATATCTATGTATCTACTTGATCAAATGGAATATATTCTAAAGGGGTTATTTTAAACGTTGGTAATCTACTAATTGTTAAAAAAGCAGTGTAACCTAGTTTTGGTTATTGGGGTTTATAATGGCTCAACATATTTCTCTACAACTAGGTGTTTTTTTAAGTTAAATTTGTACACTAGTTTTCAAACAGTTTCCAAAAAGAATAACGAAATTAAAAACCTTACTTAATTTTGATTAAATATATTTGGCGTTGAAAAATTAACGGCTGGAATTGTTTACTTAGAAAGCAGATTGTCTCTTTAAAGACAACAGTTACAGCTGCAGGATCCAAATTTGTCAATATTTATGCACTACTGAAAGTGGCATACAAGTCATTGTGACAATAAAAATTGCAATAAAAGAATTCCTCATGTATAAAATAAAGGAATCTTTTATTCATTTTATTTGATTGGTTCAAAATTAAATGATGAAAAATTAAGTGGAGTCACCTAAAGAAAAACATGAAACAAAAAATACTGATTGTATTAAAATCAGATTTAAGTTTTTAACATGAGAAGATATACCGAGAACAAATTAATGGATGTTGTTGTCAATACAAAAAAAAAGAGAGAGCTGTTGACAAAGGGTGTATGACATGAAAATCAGATTAAACCATTACATACCACAGTTGTTCTCATCTGAACCATCTGGACAATCTTGTCTACCATCACAAACAGATCTCTGTGACAAACATTGAGAATTAGATACACAACGGAACTCATCAGGGCGACATTCTGCAAAATACAAACAAACAAACAATAAATACCACATACTAAATAAACATAAAATAGCCTCTATCAGTAGCTAGTCAAAGATTGGTGGCATTGAAAACATCAAGAAATTGGACAGCGACAGAAAGAATAAAGACAGTAAAGATTGCTAAAAAACCTCAAGTCTCCTTGTAAACTTTCTTTCCTTGAAAAGAAAGTTTAATTCTATGCAGGTGAAATATCTGGCTGAAGAATTCTCCTTTTAAAAGAAGAAATTATCAGTCAGGTGAGGTAAGGGTTAATAAAGCTATACTAATGAAGATATACAGATAGGAGAGCAGAAGGACAATTACAATATAATTTGTGGGAATAACAAATTTGTGATTTTCATATCTAATGGCGTGCATGTTTAAGGTATCTTACAAAGCAAGCAGACATTTGCGTGTAAATTCTCTCTGGGTGCATATTATAATTCCAAATTCAGAGTACATATCAATTGTACCATTTTTGAAAATAAATTGGTTTTAAATGAAAATTACTTTACATGCAAAGCAATAGAGAATAATATAAAAATGAAATAGATATTTTGTGCTGTCCAATACTCAACATTCAATCAAAATCATTATTCAATGCCACCATTGGAGGTTGTCAATCCTCCCATCCCTACTTACGGCAATCTTGCTCATCTGACCCGTCAGGACAATCACGATGTCTATCGCAGCGCCTGCGATTATCAAGGCAATGCCCACTTCCACATTGAAATTCGGAAGATTGACATCGCCTTCCAGCTGAAAGGAATTTAAAGGAATTAGTAATACTCAGGTGTAATATAACTGTTAAAAATAATTAATATATCATGTCATCATAATTCACAAATTTTTGGGTGAGAAAATCTCTAATATCAATCATGTATTTGGAGCACACACAAAAGTTTTAGGCATATGAAAATCTAAAATTTTAAGCTTTGAGTTTTGTTTTTCTGGTTTCATAACTTATATCTTACTGATACATTAAGTTTTTAACAGTTATAATAAATGTTATTTTCAACTCTACATTTTAAGGCCAAAACTAAATAAAAAATAAAGAGAGAACCCTAGAAAATAAAGAAAATAAACACACAAAAAAAAAGATTATATCCTATAATTAAAGCAAGCCATGCGATATTCTAACCTTTTCTGGAACTAAAATAAGACATGAAAAAAGATCGACATGAGAAAAATGTCTAGCAAGTTAAAGATGCAATGTTCATTAAGCATGGTTTAGCTGTTGAAATGATAAATAGAATGAAAAAGATGTCATTGCAAAAACCATGACAAAAAAATCACCACTTCACCAAATAAATTTACAATCATGATTTTGTTACCTCTAAAAGGCCTATTTTATTGTTTTGTATCAAATATCACATTTCATCTGGTGTTCAGTTGCCTTATTTTATCTTTATTTTGACAGTGACTAATAAGTCTGAATGTGCATGAATTGTTAGTTTTGGATCTCTATTTGTCAATCATCAGGCAACATTCAATTACATTATTAACCCAATTAGTCTATTTCACTATATCATTGTTAAATTCAAATTTGGAGAGTTCTTTTCTACATAATGATTAATAGTGCAGTGTATTTTTTGGGATTTTTCTAAGGTTTTGTGCTGCGCTTAAATTTTACTTCCTACAAAAGCTATTTCCTGACAGTTGTCTAAGGTTTATATTTCAAGCGGAAATATGTCAGCTTGAGTCATCAAGCATCACTTACGACAATCAACTTCATCGCTGCCATCGCTACAATCAACGCGACCATCACACTTTAAACCAAAATCAATACATTGGCTATTATTACATTTAAACTGGCCGGGTTTACAAGATTCCGGTAATGGAGTGGCTGAAATGATGTTGTTATTAAAATGTTAGTAATAAAATCATCACAAAAGAACATGAATGCTAAATATATTGAAAAAGTTGTTTCATGTAAAAAAAATAAAAAACTTCTTATATATTATACATATAATATTTGTTGAAAAGATATAAAACCTTTGTTAATAAAACAATAAATATTCTTATTACGTTAAAACACAGATACTTTGAGTGAAGGTGATATAATATAGAGTATTCAAAGGGATTTGATTATCTAATCATTCACAGCTTTAAAAAAATACTCCTATGATTTCTTTACAGATAGTTTACAATTGAAGTTAATTTCCCTTCAGAGTTATAAGGATGGCCAAAATAGGTATTTAAGTAGCTTACTGAAGTTGAAGCTTTTTATTCCTTATTACAAGGATTTGATTTCAAATACTCATAATTTTGTACTAATAAAGTAAAATTGAGTTCCTGGACAATTAATTAAATAACTGAATCCCTTCAAATTGGTTTTCATTATGACACACAACACCAAAAATTTTAATGAAAAGCATACTTTTGGCATTTCAAGCTATGTCAATCAATTGTGTTATTTCAACCCTATTAGACACACAAACAATTTTCAGAGAAATCCAAATTTATTATGTGTGATATACGCAAAATTACATGACAAAAAAAATCCATGAAAACCTTGAGAAGTGAAATGCAGCTACAGTAAAAAGCTAACATCAACTAGAGATTACTTACGACAATTCACTTCGTCAGATCGATCCCTACAATCAGGACGACCATCACACTTTCGTTGAGCTTCAATACATTCACCACTGCGACACTGAAACTCTGACTGGGAACAGCCACGACCTAATTTAAATGTTTTTAATACAGTATATTTGAGGATATTTTACAATTCTTTTCATACCTCAAAACCTACATAAATTCAATTTTCAGAAATGTAAATTTAAATTCAAGTTAGTTATATTTCAGTTATTTTACTCATTTCATTTTTATTTATTGAAATATCCTCAAATAGATATATTATGAAAACACTAAAATTAAGAAGTTAAATTCATAAAAGCTTTATTAATAAATAAGTAAAAAATATCTCTGAAATAAAAATAAAATGGTGGATGACCTACTGCGACAATTCTCTTCATCACTGCCATCAACACAGTCTGGTGTATTATCACAGTATTTACTACCTGTTATACATTGACCATTACCACACCTAAATTCTTCAGCAGTACATGCTACAATAAATATAGCTGTTAGTTCTTAGTACATTACATTAATAACAACCACACCAAAATTCATACGCAACTCTTTTATTTCTAGGAATTGGGATTGCACTTTAACATGAGAAAAATTACAGAGGGTTTTTGGTATTTTCATGTAATCTGCACATGCAAACAGTTTTGGGAAAATAAATATTGGAAATATCCAGAGGGGCTTGTTATAGCTTTGAGGCTGGATAACAGACTGACAGTCAATTCATTTGTGTTGCGTATGAATATGTTTATATGTAAATAAAACATTAGAAAAAAGTAGAATATTTGTTAAGGTAAAATAGTGAGAAAATGAACAAAAAAATGTTAATTACGCCTTTAACCATTAATTACAAAAACACCCAGAAAGATATTACAACTATTTTACAGAAATAAAATAGTCAAATTATAAAGAATGTAACAAATCACTTTTTATTATTATTATCTAAAAAAATATCAGTGTATATAAATAACAAGAAATGATACATACCACAGTTAAATTCATCAGAACCATCAGCACAATCTTGATAACGATCACATTTTCTACGTCTGTCAATACATTTACCATCAGAGCAAGTAAACTCATTACTACGACATCCAGCAGCTGAAAATTTGAAATAAAAAATGCACGTGGATACAAATTTCAGCACGCAAAAAAATACATTTTAAAGCTACTTATTATGGAATATATTGGAATTTTTTTTTTTTAGATAATATCACTCATTTCAAATCATACAGCTTGTGTTCAACTTTGGATTGAATTACTAAATGGTAGAAGTGCTCACAACTTTGTGTTTAGTGATTTTACTATCATGAATCCATAATCACAGTTAAAGCTGTTGTTTTAAATTGCAGGGAATACTTACTACAGTTTTGTTCATCTGTACCGTCCTGACAATCTGATCTACCATCACACAGTCTATTATTAGGTATACATCTACCACTTCCACATTTAAACTGATTATTTGGACATGCTATAAAACAATGGTTTAATGAGTACTGATAATGGTTGAATATCGGTAGAATTCTTACATATCACGATATCTAACTCGGTTGAATTATATCTACAATCAATAACTTTATCTAAGAATGAAACACTTGATTTTTTTGGACAACACTGACCTCAAAAAGCCTGGTGATGAAAATAATAAAATAATTGGTCATCATAAGAATGATCAGAAACAGTTATATATTGGTTGTTTAATTTCAGTCACTCCCCTCAATATTCCTTTTTATCTTAGAGGCAGACAATAAATATGTTGAAAATAAATTCTATAATATAATAACCACAACAACATGTTATTAACCAAATCAAAGAAAACAGAAACTTACGACAATCTGTTTCATCACTACCATCTCTACAATCATATCTTCTATTACAACGATTACTAGATTCAATACATTGACCACTCTTACATTGGAATTCATTAGCTCCACAGGCTACAAACACAAGCAAAGTCAAGTCTTTGAATCACTAAAATACTACTAAAATTACAGTGAGGTCCTACTTGTCCAATTGGGTCACCAAATAGAATCAAACATCAAGGATCAGAAATATTGCTGATAAAAATCTTACCTGGGTCACAAGTAGCTTCATCAGAACCATCTAAACAATCTATTTCAAAATTACATACTTTTCTTTCATCAATACATTGACCATTATTACATCGAAATTCTCCAAATCTACACTCGCGGCTTGCTGCAAAGTACAAAAATTAGGCTCCAAATCGAAAATCCAAATCTAATGACTAGGTGTCAAAGGGCATACAGATTTTCCTATTATAACTACATAAAAGCTTAGAATTGAGCAAATCTTTCATATATCACAAACCTATAAATGTACACCTAATATAGATCCAAATAATATTGCTTGAATGAATGGTCAATTGATAAAATTCATACAACATATTTTGTTTAAGAGCAAGAAAATATAACATGTTATTATTATTATGAGATATGTAACTGTCACTTATATAGGTAGGTAGGTAGATGACTTCCGCTTCCGGCGGATGCTGATATCGCAAACTAGCTAGTTGTTGGTAGTCGTAGTAGTTGGTAGTTGGATTGTCACTTATATAAGGATTTGTTTCTTTAAATACATGTTCATCTTTAAATGAGTTTTCATGCATACTTACCTGGTAATAGGCCCTCTAGAACTTCAAGATAAATCATAATTGACTTTAATTTAAAAGGATGAATGCTTTTTTTTTTTCTGTACTTGAACCAGTTAAAATGTAAAAAAATAAGTGTATAAACAACCACCCTGCTTCTATACTATATTAACACACAACAAACCTGATGGTGCCAGTTCAACTTTAAAAGACATAACATTAGCATCTGAAGCTCGACAAACAAAAATTCCAACATCATCAGACTCAGCTCTATCAATAATGAGTTCACTAATAAAAGAATTTGAGGCTTGATCTCGGAATCGTGTTATGACAACACCGTCTCCCTGTCCAGTGAGTAGTTGACCACTACGGAACCAATCAACATCTTGTATACGTTGTACAGCCTCTGATACATTACATCTTAGATTGATTCTATCTCCTCTTCTAATTAAACTTTCACCAGTTACAATAACAGCTGTAAACAATATAATATATCAACAAACTAGTAGAACAATAAATGTTTACCAGAACGGTATGATGAAGACCATCATTGTTGAATTATCTTGTTATCTTGTATAGTATTGTATATATTCATCTGATGGCAAAGTCCCTCAAGAAAAGAGGCTAGCTTGACATAGTGAAAGAATGGCCTGTGCCCCCCATGAAAATTTTGTTCCCCCTGCTCGGTCTCCTCAACTAATCTTTCCTAGAAACGCCACTGCTTGCAATGAACCTTTTTTTTTTCAAATTTTCCCGGAGATCTGAGATTAATAGGTCCTTTGATAACAAATAATAAATCAACATCAATTAGTTCATCCCAAACAGAAATATAAACAAATCATATAATTATTTTCACTGATAAAATAATGCTCAATACATCAATTGTAGATTTCATCATCAATTGTAGATTTCATCATCAATTGTAGAGCAATATAGAAAAATTAAAACAGAACCAGAACAAGGTCTAGATCATAGCCTGAAACTCTAAGTAACAAGATGTTTCAGGTCCTGTTTTAATATTTCTATAAATATAAACAAATAATATTAATTACAATAGCCATTCCCAGATTGATTAAGATTTAATTTGTTAGATAGATAAACTAGTAATGATTAGGTTTGAAGCCTTAATGAGACTTTTGGAATTAAGGTCATATCATATGCATTGTATTTCCTGGGGTAAAACATCAAGCAATTATTTTCAGCATGTCAACTCGAGATGCTATACAGACAGATCAATTGCTGAATACATGAAGCTGTTTCTGATCGGATGTATTTCTTGCACACCCATAAGATTTAAAAAAGGCCACCAACCAAAATACCATGAAATCAAACTAGGCTCTCTGTATACCTGTCAAAGAGTTAACATTTCTAATACATTTTCTATTACATTAGCGATTGATGAAAAGATAATTTTAATGTTATTTTTGTTTGTAGCTTTTAGGTTTTCAGTTCTATATATCAAGGTATTTCATGTTGCAATATATATCTATCTTGTCATTTTATTAAAATACAGTAACAACAATTACATAGATAAATAGATATATATATAACTAAAATGATATGGCATGGAAATATTTGCGATGTCTGTAATCTTCAGTCTAAACTTTCACTGATTCAGAATATGGGACACGGTGTAAAAATGTGCATTTCAAACTGACACAATACAACATAAAGATGTAAAAGATGTAAATAACAAAGTCATAAAATAACACTTATAAATAATTTAGTTTTAGGAAGGCACAATGTCAAAATAGAAATGGATTTCTAGACAAATACTAAAGAATATTTTACAAATATAACAGTTCTTTATAAGACAAAAGATACAGTGATAAACTTTTTCTCATTGAACTAGACTAATGTACAGTTTGATAACCTGGGTTATGTTATAGAATGATAACATGGACTGTCTTTTCACATCTGTGAAATCCATTTCAATATTTGAAAAAGAAAGTTATATTAAAGAAGTTATAAGTTAAGATAAGCTGTTGATTTAAACATGTATAACAGAACTACGTTTATCTCATACCCATAACATTATAACATATAATAACACAACAAAACTTTAGTCTGATTTAAGTTACTTCGGTATATCTACAAATAATTCCAAAAATATGTTATACTTTATATTTTGTATCAGGCAAGATTTGATTGTTGCAATTATTTGAAGAATGGTAGGTTTCTTTTATTATCCTATTTCTGAGGATGATTGTTGATCTGTTAAAAAAATGTTTTAACATATGGGTATTAGAAAAATAACAATATTAAATATATTAGATTGAGCCAACACCAATATAAATATAAAATTTGTTTATTACCTTCCCTGGTGGCAGCTATAAAAATAATAATAATAATAATAAGAGTTGTATAACTCCATTTCAAAGTCACAAAAAAAGTTTGTTTAAACGTACAACAATATTATAGTACATACATTAAGATAAGCTTTATTAAAGAAATATCTCAGCTTCGTAAACAATACATGTACTTACCAGATATATATAGTAAATTATCATTATACTTACCAGTCACTTGTATCATTGTATACTGAAAAACTTACCTTGACCTACCTTTTAATAAAACATGCCAAAAGACACGAGGTTTCTATTCCCAACAATTAATAGCTGTACAATTCACACTATCATTAACATGAACGACATTGGAATGACCATGAAAGGATAATACCCTCACAATGAATCAATTGAACATCAAAAGAAAACGATTGAAATTTGTGTAATATTGATGGTAGTGTGAACTGAACAGAATAATTTCAGTGTGAACTGTTCAAATAGAAATTGTATGTTGTACTTACGACATCCTTCTTCGTCTGAACCATCCTGACAATCTGGTAAACCATCACAACGTAAAGCTGAATCAATACATGTTCCTTGTCCACATTGAAAATCACCTTCAGGACATGGTCTATCAGCTGAAAATGCACAATTTTGGGATTAAAAACTGTTATCCCAAAAATACTATTCCTAGTAGTTGATCTGGTAAGTCTGTTACAGAAATATCTGATAACAACAAGAATCTCTCAGACATTTTAGAAGCAATAAACATCTCCACAACTTCACTAAGATATTTTGTGTTAAAGAAAAACATTCCAGAAAAACATATAACAATTTGTACCATTGAAATAGGAATCAAATTAAGTAACATACCACATTCTACTGATGTTTCATCAGAACCATTAGGACAATCTGAATTACCATTACATCTATACCTGGCATCTATACATGAACCATCTTCTTCACATCTAAATAATCCAGCAGGACATTGCTTTGGTAATACTGGTACTGAAAAAACATAATTATCTAGATCTGTCAGGATGGGTTAACATCCTTCAAACTAGGTGTGAATGGTTTAATACACTTTCATAAGTTATCAGAGTCAAATATGTACTTAGAGGGACAATCTGTTTTTTTTGTAGGTCGAATAATTGATTTGCTTAACTTTGTGAAAACAAAATTCTATAGAAATGTATCCCATAACATATTTGAAAGTTTACTTTATGTAAAAGATATGTAACCTTTTCTAGTTCGTTATGCCTTTTATAAGCTGTTAAAAAACTAGTGTACAGATTTGAGTAATCTAAAAGCCAATCACTGATACTAGGTCAAAATGCTTAATTAACAATTAGTACCCTCAGTTTTTTATTAACCCTTTTAAACAAATTCAGTTTGATATTCAGAAATATTTTCAGGTAAAATTTACGTTTTTGGTAATGAAAATGTTGTACAAAGAAAGCGGAATGTCCCTTTAACGATGGTGTTCACTTTTTATAATGGGAATCTTAAAAAATTCAAAACTTAATCTGTTTTCTTTTTTAGTACACATATATGGTGCAGGAAATTAAGATTCAAGTTGTCAAATCTTTAAATTTGACTCTTGATGGATTCAGAGAATACTAACAACATAAAAGTTCATCTGAATTATCATCACAATCAGGGAAACCATTACAGACTTTAGATCTGGGTACACAAACTCCATCACCACATTTGAAATCATCCCCAGTACAGTTTTTGGTAGCTGGAAAGTAAAGAAATATATATATATTAACATCAATATCTTCAAATTTGTCTAACCATGAATAGCAGGAAGAATTTTGGTAAACTATAATGGGAAATGCTGTTTTATGATTGCTATTTAACTTTATTTATGCACAAGTCTGCCCCCTGCCCATATTAACGCTATGCTAGCAACTAAGATAGATACACAGGTATGTATCTTTTCATTGAATGAAGAATGAACGTACTGCGCTGACCAAGCCTTGCAGTTATTCATAGCATTGTAGTTATTCATAGCATTGCAGTTATTCATAGCATTGCAGTTATTCATAGCATTGCAGTTATTCATTTAGTTGTTAGTAACTTTATATTATAGTTTAAAAAGTACTGCACTATAAAGTGTCATTGGTATACAATATCAAAAACAGAGGATAGATAATAGATAAATAATGAATATAATTGGGAAACAAATAGTTAATTGTGCCAAAATCATTTAGTCTTAGAACTAGATGTCTTTTTCGATTAAAACAGAAAATATTCATGCAGAAACAAACAAGGCCTATTCAAAAATGTTGAATGAGTTGTGATTCGATTGACAAAAGTGTGAATTCACTTTACAAACATCTATTATTCAACATCTGCAAACTGCAACAAACAAGTATTTCCAAGCTTAACACATAAAATATCTAGGAATAAATGACATGAAAAAATAACAAAATGATGGCATGAAATGAACAGAGGTAAGAAACAAGAACATTGTCATCAAGAACATACTGACAACAAAATATTTCACAAATCACACAATCTGGAAATAAGCTGGAAAAAATAAGCATAAGCGCTGCACAGATAAGCCCACAACTTTTTAAGATAAAGCATCTCCTATATCAGATTCTTCTTGTATTTCTGTACACACAATTAAATATAAAACTGCCGCTTAACAGATGTCACTAACAAAATTGCTGTTGACACATCAGCAGACACAGCAATGAACAGAAAAAAGGAAGCTGTAAACAAATCACAGCTTTCATTTTCAAATTGAAGGTTTTTAAAATACGATAACTGTGATAGGCTCTCTCATACTTATAATCAAACAGAGAAGAGAGATTAGCATAAAATGTACTTTGTTGAATGGAAAAACATTAACCCCGTTGACATTACACAAATTATCCGTTTTGAGAATGGAATAGATAAAAAATTACTAGTTTAAACAGTCGAGCGTTCTGAGAACAGTTCCAATTTGAGACTACCAAGGTGAGGTGGTCTCGGAACAGTTCTCAGTACAGAACAGTTTAAATTTGGTAGTGTAAAAGATCGCGCATACCAAGAACGTCTATAATTAATTCTTTCGTGAGAAGTTTCATTAAAACGCGTCTGAGAACAAAAGACCATTTAAACTATTTTTAAAGAACTGTTCTCAGAACGCTTGAAATTGCAGTAGTGTAAACAGTAAAAATTTTGTTATTTTATTGTGCCGGGTCAAGACCAAGAATGGAAAATTTCGTAGCATTCTAATGTAAACGGGGTTAGTCAGTAGAAGGTAGGTACAATACAATAAGCAACTAGGATAATTGTAAAGTATTGAGTTACTATCACAGGTACAGTAAGAAACATTTTTATAGCCAAATATATATTTGAAAATGATCCCACACAATTACAAAATTAGACACTGGGAAAATTATAAAAAGCTTGAAGAAACAGGAAGTTAACACAGTGCCATCGTCTGCACTTACGACAATCAATTTCATCAGTTTGATCTGGACAGTCTGGTTTGCCATCACATCTTAATATCTCATCAATACATCGCCCTCGTTCACAACGAAATTGTCCTGGTATACAGGGAACTGAAGCTAGGATGTTAATTAAATTAAACCAATTAACATGCTTCAATTTGAAACTTATGCTATCAACAATTTTAAACAGTTTTCAGAAGAAATTCTCGTTTTAAGCATTTTTTTTTTACATAATATAATTATTTTTATCACAGACTGTACAGAAGAGTGAATTTTTTCTTTCTGTCCAAGAAGTAGGCAAGACTTTTTCCTTGTGTATCAACTAAAACACAACAATGATGTAACAGACAAACATTGGTGGCCCTGCATGGCTTCCATACCTTCTTAAAAACAATGTAAAATAGTTGATAGATAGTGTAAACCTATTGTTAATAAGATTAGAACCAAAATATGAGTGTAACTTGTTATCAAAATTTGATTAATTTTTGTTAATCTATGAGTTCATAGAGTAAAGTAAATAAGTAACATTAATTGTTAAATATTAAATATCAATTTGATGTTATTGAATTTTAGAATTAGATTGTTAATAATGAATAATAATAATGAAAATGAAAAAAACTCATAAATATTTAACCACTGCAAAGTAAAATCACAGCAGTTCAATATAGAAGTAGAGAGTGAAATAGAATACTTACGACAACCAAATTCATCATCACCATCTGGGCAATCTGATCTGCTATCACATCGGAAATTAAAATTGATACAGGTACCATCAATACATCGGAATTCATCATCTCTACAGGTTCCAGATGCTGAAATATAAAAATTTGTTAATTTTAGAAGACAATTATTTTAAGATTAAAATGTGTAAATTATGCAAGTAATAAAAAACCAAATAATTTCAAAAAAGCACATTCAGAAATTTCATATGTTGACTCAAGTTAATTCTTGGACACGCAAGCCCTTAATTAATTCTATAATGACAAGAAAGACTTGATCAAATTCATCATTATTAAATCCTCCAGATAACTACATTAATAGGTATGTGCCATGTATTGTGAGCTTTTAAATGGTTTAAATCTTGAGATAAAATTCTTTTTCTTTTTATTCTTTTATAATCTATTGCAGATTACGTAATTAAAAACATAGGCCGAGGAGTATATACTATTTGATTGCTTGATCTCAGGTTCATAAGATCCGGTTGACCTGTAAAAGTCATAGAAGAGACTGTTCAACATGACTAACTCCATCTGTCCTTTTATTTTTTTAGCTAAGAGATTATATTTTCAAGTAGATTGTATTGTTATAGTCAGATTATACTTTAGCTGTTCAACTATATCTTTGTTAAAAAACAATCATTTCAAGTATGTTTACTTTCCTAATATAAGATATTAAAAACTCCTTGTAACACGTGAAATATGATAGGTATGGCCACCCTCAGGATAATATTCTTGTGGTTTTTAATCTTTCAAGGTTTATGGACTGTAAAATATCACAGCAGTGAAATGATGATTGAATATTAACTATAGAACAAATATTTTTTTGTTTGAAATTTTCATTTCATATGACACTTAGACTTATTGTCCTATAATAAAAATTTCATGAAAACGACAGTATATATAATAAGAGCCTTATTAACCTATTTAACTGCTTAGTGCCTTTTCCAGTTAAAGACTGGCATTCTGAAAAACATTTTGCACGAAATATGCTTCTTTCTATTGAATTCCTAGCAGATAACTAATAGCAGTCGAATGTTTCCTTAAGAAATGGAAGGAAAATAAATGAATATAATGAGTACAAGAATTTATATATTAGTTCAGACATTAATGAATCTTGATATCTAGTTCAATCTGTGATAAAAGATCACCTTTTATCAATAGAGTCTGAGAATATAATATCTGCTATGGGAAAATGAAAATTTTGATGATATTGAAAAGAACTCAATGTCTTCTTCTTATCAAAGTACTTGAGTACATTATGATACTATCAGAAGCTTGTATATTATATATAATATTTGATTTATAAAACTGACACTGAAGATACCTTAAGTTCAAATAATATTATCTTGCAAATAAGGCTGATTTTTGTTAAATTTGCTCTACATTTCAATATTTGTATTATACAACTAGCACTTTCTTTTAAGCATACAACATTGATTATTTTGTTCCATTTTTCCTGGAAATCAGGGCAGAACAGCAAGTTTGAGTGACACAGAGAGTTACTTGCTAACCTAGGAACTGAGGAACTTCTTGAACATCTCAGTAAATAGTGCCAATCTTATAAAGTTTAATCTGGTAAAAAAAAAAGTAAAAACACTCTATTTGTTTTCATATCACTACTTCTTGGGCAATGAAAAAGGCAAGGCAACATGTGATATATTGTTTTCAAATTGTTAGAATCCATAGAGTGATCACAAAACTGATGAAATAGTAGTATAAATCAATGAAAAAATCACAGCTTTCAATATTACAGAATTAGAAATGTTTCATTTCAAAATCATCAGACAAATTAAACTGAGTAGAAATTAGTTTATGATATATCTATCATAACGTGTTGAAATATTTGGTAGATAAGTAAAGACAAAATAATCAATATAACATATCTAAAAATATTACATCATACACCATACTATGTTTTAATAAGTCATATTCAATATTAGTTTGTATGTACATATAATATAATCATAGCCACCAAACTAGTAAGTATTATTTACTGAAAGATTGATCTACCCTTCCATAATGCATTGAACCATGAAATTACTCTACCTTACTGTTCATAAGTATGATTTGAGTATGGGAATATGTACCTAGCAAGATACGCCCACTTTCCTGATACATTTTCAGTATATCAAGGGCAGTCCCCTATCTGTGTTACATCATACCAAAAATTTAATTTGTGCAAGATATTGTTGATTTAAACAAACACACATTAGTTCACAAAATTATGACATAAACTGTCACCTCTAAGCTAAGAAATTTTGATGCGTTTTTACCAAGTCATGGGCAATAACTCCAATTCCGTTGATCGAAAAATTGTCAAATTTAATCTTGACTAAGATCTCATCATTATAAATGATCATACCAAATTTAATTTAAAACAGATGAAAACTGTAGTCTCTATTGTGTTCACAAACAAATTTTGACGCGTTTTTCATAAATCAAGGGCAATAACTAAAAAACCATTCATCGAAAGATAGCCAAATTCGAAGTTGTCCAAGATCACATCATTATAAATATTCACACCAAATTTCATTGAAATTGGATAAAAACTGCAGTCTTTATTGTATTCACAAACAAATTCGACGCGTTTTTTATAAGTCAAGGGCAATAATTCAAAAACCGTTCATTGAAAGATCGTCAAATTCGAACTTGTCCAAGAACTCATGAATATAAATGATCACACCAAATTTCATTCAAATCAGATGAAAACTGTAGTCTCTATCGCTTTCACAAGCCAATTTTGAAGTGTTTTGGCTAAGTCAAGGGCAATAACTCAAAAACCGTTCATTGAAAAATCGTGAATATCGAACTTGTCCAAGATCTCATCAATATAAATGAACACACCAAATTTCATTCGAATCAGATGAAAACTGTAGTCTCTATCGCTTTCACAAGCCAATTTTGATATGTTTTGGCAAACTCAAGGGCAATAACTCAAAAATCGTTCCTTGAAAAATCATGAATATCGAATTTGTCCAAGATCTCATCAATATAAATGAACACACCAAATTTCATTCGAATCAGATGAAAACTGTAGTCTCTATCGCGCTCACAAGCCAATTTTGATGCGTTTTGGCTAAGTCAAGGGCAATAACTCAAAAATCGTTCATTGAAAAATCGTGAATATCGAACTTGTCCAAGATCTCATCAATATAAATGAACACACCAAATTTCATTCGAATCAAATGAAAACTGTAGTCTCTATCGCGTTCACAAGCCAATTTTGATACGTTTTGGCTAAGTCAAGGGCAATAACTCAAAAACCGTTCATTGAAAAATCGTGAATATCGAACTTGTCCAAGATCTCATCAATATAAATGAACACACCAAATTTCATTCGAATCAAATGAAAACTGTAGTCTCTATCGCGTTCACAAGCCAATTTTGATACGTTTTGGCTAAGTCAAGGGCAATAACTCAAAAACCGTTCATTGAAAAATCGTGAATATCGAACTTGTCCAAGATCTCATCAATATAAATGAACACACCAAATTTCATTCGAATCAAATGAAAACTGTAGTCTCTATCGCGTTCACAAGCCAATTTTGATACGTTTTGGCTAAGTCAAGGGCAATAACTCAAAAACCGTTCATTGAAAAATCGTGAATATCGAACTTGTCCAAGATCTCATCAATATAAATGAACACACCAAATTTCATTCGAATCAGATGAAAACTGTAGTCTCTATCTCGTTCACAAGTCAATCGTCACCAATGTCCGTCAGTGGACATGGGTGACGACAATATACGTCCACATTATAATGTGGGCGTATAAAAATCAATTTCATATGACACAAATAACTACCAGTACAATACCTCCAATCAGGAATTAGGATGGTTGAAGGTACTATTGACAAGCAACTAGTCACTATTCAACAGAAGGCATTGGCACAGGGTTAAAGTTGTGCTTAAAAAATGGTTTCATGTTAATATAAAATGAATTAAAATCAAAGAAGAAAATCATGGTATAATGGATCTCCATCTTATACTAAACTTTCAATGATTTCTAAGCTGTATAACTCATCTTTTAAAATTGTATATTGCTACAGAAACACCTGACTGATTTTCCAAACCATTTGAATTTTTTTAGATATAGTATAATGAAAGAAGTTTCTGATATCTAAATGTTTTGATAAAAAACATCTCCAAGGTCATAAACTATACATGTTTTCCAAGAACTAGAGCCTACACACTGTCTCGATAGGCTTGATATCTTATAGTTTTTGTTCATCTGCCATTTATACCTTACTTTATGATTTTTCAATATGTAGAAATTAACTTTCCATCTACAAAAATTCACTTTTCAATAATCACTCAATAAAAGTAAAAAACAAGATGGAAGAACTGACAGTTGTAGTAATACTGAAATATAAAGCAATATCATTGTATCAAAGCTCAATTTAAGGATTTGCTTCTTCACCTGCTTTCTAACATTCTAAACAATATAAAACAGAGATTTTATGAATACATGTATAGTATTTCTAGGGAATATTTAGAGTTGAGTTGGGTATAAAGTGTATAAGACTTGTTATAAGGCCTGTATTTGTCAGTACCAACTACTTCTCGGTTAGGATCTATGTTTTGGTTTTATTCTTTAATTAGCTTATTGATAAACTAAAATGATCACAGTAGAGAAAGATTAAAACCAAAGGTACAGAAACTTTTCAAGTTAAAGTAAATCAAGAAAGGCAATAGATTATAATAATATATTAACGTCTATTTACATTATATTTACGTCTGGTATTCAAATTTCCCAAAGTTAATATTTACATAAAAATGCAATGAATGTAAATTCTTTCACAGAGTGCAAGTAAAATGTTTAATACTATAATGGTGATTATTAAAAAATACATGACAATATATGAAATTGCAGAATGCAACTTAGTTTGGACAATTGCAGGGGATTAAAACTCAGGGAATGCCAACTGAAGAATGGTAAAGTCTATAAGTAGATTAATTTTTCTAAATTTTGCTTCACTGTACCCAAAACTGTTTGAAGTTATTTGCATTTAGGACTACTATAAACGTGTATAGGTATTCTATTATATTTTGAAAGTCTCGGACAAATTTTTATCTTATTAAGATATTTGTACTGATGAATGAAGTCATTAAAATACTGCTATCTTATCAGTTAAATGTATAACATATATTTTACATCAAGGTTAATTAGTTATTTAGTTTGCTGAACATACCAATGTCTCCAAAATACTTTCATGAATCAAAGTTCAAATACATCTTCACAGGAAAACATCTTATGTCATATGTTATGTTATATTATCGCTTAGATCTTTTTCCAAACATTTTTCTTATTATTTTAGTTCAAACTTTCAGATACGTTGTGGGACACATTTCTATAGATTTTGGTTTTTAGTCTTCACAAATTGAGCAAAATAATTTTAGACCTACAAAAAAGGTTGAATGTCCCTTTAAATGAAAAAAGTCAACAACAATGTAAAAATTATCATTGAAAAAATCAGCTTACTCAGCCAAAAATAACTGATCCAAATATTTGTTAAAAATCTTACGTTTGGATAATTTCCTCTGAACTAATAAAAATATCAACAATAACAATGTTAAAACCTGTTGAAAGAATAAAGTTATACAAACAAAATATGTTTATAAAACAGAGTTAAGCAGGTTCAGGGTCAACAAATATTTAAAAATATTCAAATAGAAATCACAGCAGGTAAAACAATACCACTTTGACCAGACAACAAATATTTCAACAGACTAAACATTGTTGATATGGAGAAATATTGTGCCAAAAAATACAAATTTTGGCAAGATATTTCTATATTTTCAGAATATATAAAGTGTGCTTTCATCAAAGCTTTAACAAATTACTTTTCAGCCACTGGGTTAATAAAGATGTCCTCACCATGCAGTCTCTATTTGCCCACTCTTTTTCAATTACCAACATTTAAGAGGTCTTAAATACATATGTCTATTTTCCCATCTGAATGACTAGACAGTGTTTCAAGATGGGCCCCATTGACCTGCATCAGTGACAAAGGGAATACTGGTTAAAAAATCTAAAGGAACTATTTTGATCTATGTTACTCAATGATCCCAAATACCTTCAATATCTGGCCTCACTGATTAGAGCTAGCTGGTGCTCTTGATGAGCAAGAAGAGCAATAAATGTCATAAGAAATCAGATTTTAGTTATGAATTGCCATTGATATCAAAATGTGTCTTCCAAATCTGAAGTTTGTCATGAAAATTGATGAAATGATCGAAATTTGTTTGGGGTGATTGATAAGGTAGGAACCTGTTCAGTATAATCTAGAGAAGACTGAGAAAACCTTTTTCATGACTAGAGCACTATTTACTTGGCTCAGTTGACCTACTGATTGCTTTTAAATGTCAAAATATTTAATGAGAATAACAATTTGTTGTTATATTTTTCTTTTTTTGCAATTGGTTTACCTCTTACACTATACTTTATAAATTGGCACAGAAACACTGAAGGTTAACTATAGTTACATATACTGTGATATTTATGTCACTCTTCTTTATTTCCTGTCAAAAAACTAGTGTTTTCTGCATTTTGGCTTTAAGTCAAATGTGTAATGGTAAACAAACTGCCTATATATTTTGAAGTATACAGTATGTTAAAACTGGAAATTCTTGAAAGACTGGTCTCAGATCAACCATATTTTACACTCTAATTACTATCTAAAACGAACTCATTACGATATGTTGCAGTAATATTAAAATATGACAACTCCAGATAATCAGTAGAGTTTGAAAGATAACTAGCATCAGATGTATTACGTGCCTGAGCAAAATATTAAAGATTTTCAGACCCAAAAATATTTATTCAAACTAATTCTGACATCTGAGTTTAAGTGTTTGCTAAACCATGTTGCTTTTATTCGAGAAAATTCAGTCAGTTGCTTGGCTATCTTATCTTGGTGCTTGATTTTAGATTCAATAATTTTTGTTTCAAAAAAATTCAGTTGCTCAGGTGGATGTTTGTTATTTTTGTGGCTGAGTTTGTAAAACAATAACATATATTGATTGTTGTATTTTAAATGGATTGATATTTCTTTCCATTGAGGAATGAAACTAAGGCTTCCTACCACTTCTTAACATGGAAAACAGATTATCTGTATTATTTAAGTTTTAAACCCAAAACTCAAATAGGAATAGTATATAATAAATTTCAGTTATAAAATTCAAACAGAATAAAGCCTAACTTGACCACTGCTTGACATATAATTTTTAAGGAATGTGGAAAAATATACAAATAAAAAAAAAACCATATATATAACGAAAACTCTTTCACAAAACTTAATTTGATTGTACATGTATGTCTATATATAAACTTCTTATGAATGTTCATAATGAAATATTTGTCTCTCAATAATGTTTTGCTAAGCTGAAAAATAGTTGAGGAAATTGCATTTACAATAAAAAAAGAAAAATACAACTTACGTCCAACTGGACAGTCATCTTCATCACTTCCATCAGGACATTCAATACGTCCATTACAAATTAAAAATATATCAATACAGTCTCCAGATCGACATTTAAATTCCTCATCCTTACAGATATTACCTAGAGTAAAAACACTGGTATTTAATAACAGAACAATGATAATCTGTACACAAAGGATTTGAGATGGATGACTGACATGAAGCTCCATTGTCCTTCTTCCTTCAATACTCCAACCTCTTCTATCTCTCTCTCTCTCTCTCTCTCTCTTTCTGTCTCCTACCCACACTACATAAAGATCGAAACCCTCACAGATAAAGCAGACTATACACAGTGGAGTCTGTGTTTAGAATATCTTTATTTAATATCCATACATGTTATTTTTTTAAAAATCTAATCCTCTTGTTAATGTTAATTATATCTTCTACACCTCCCAATATATAGTCTACACTAATCTAAATTATAACTTTACATTTCTCTAGTATATCAACAGTCAAATATTTTTCATCTTGGCACAACTATCTTAACAGTTTTTTATGTGGGAAAATACTCTTCATTGAACATCTGTAAATCAATATCTCCTATTTACCATAAAATACTCAAATATTTCATTATAAAATAAGCAAAAAAAAATTGAGTTATAAATTGCTAATATTAAAAAATTGTCCAGAATAAATTTTGCACATAAATGTTAGAGATAGTATCCAGAACATATATGCATATATTTCTTTTATGTTCTACATTTATTTCTTCACTATGAAGCTAATAGGTCTGCACAAAAGTTCGTTAGAAATTTAACAAGCAACACATCATTATTGAGTTGATTTCCTTTCCTTTTAACAAGTTTTAAAAATATATATATCCTTTTTGATTTCACTCAATTTCTATCAAAGTAGAATATCTTATTTAATGAGTGAGATTTTTTTTTCCTATAAAAACTATTTCCTTTCACATGAACACAATGTGTTATTCCACTGAATAAGCATACACAGGCTAATATCATTTCATGAGATGTGAATAAATCTAACATCTTAAGCCTTTTCATGTATTAATATCATTTTATTTTAAAACTATTACAAGAATCATTTAATATCCATGATGTTAAATAGTGTACAGGACCTCTCATTATCATCATAAACTATTTAACCCTGCATGTCAAATTTAATTTATAATAAATCACAACCATAACCTATTAATTTCATATCAAAAATTTCTTCCTGTGTTAAAAGTCCTTTCATCAATTTCAAAAGCCTGAAGTTCAAGCCAATCAAAGTCTCTTTACATGCTTGTTATTTATTTAAGAAGGGCGGTTTTACAAGAATTAAAAAGACCAGAAGTCTTTCAGACATTTGATAAATAGTACTTAAGAATTTATTTTATTAAAACTTTGACCAGGGCAGATGTTTATATCATTCATATGCACCAAATGAATTCTATGCAATTTTAAAGATAATTTGGCACTTCTATAGTTTAACTACAACTCAACTCAGAATAACTGGATGACATCACTGACATTCTCTGGACATCACTGACATTCTCTGAACATACTGACATTCTCTGAACATACTGACATCCACTGAGCATACAGAACAGACTAACATCAACTTAATCATCTATCCCGAAAAGGGTTTTCCCATTGTCTTACCGGTATTATCCCTTATTAAACTAAGCCCACTATACTTTCGTTTTTGGCGAGGAAATAAGATTGGTGCTATTTAAATCTGACCAATCAGATTGGTAGATTGGAAATTAGGTCATGTAAACAAAAACACTAAATTATAGTTTGAAAAGATAAGAACACATTTTTTCTACTTTTCAAAGTAAGGTTTGATTTTCTGTCAGCTACAATTCTTTATTGAACATCTTACTTAATTATGTCCATATTAATCAAAACATTTATTTTAATCACATGCTGCTTATGTTTTGTTTTTGTTCGCGAACATAGCTGATAACGAGTGGTTTAATTTGATTCGCTGATATTTCCTAGATATATTCCAGGGCCAACTTGTATTACCATGGTCCCAAGGAAATACGACAAATGGGGTTGTGGTTTGGACACGATGTAACTTAACTTACTGAACATAATGTAGATGATCGTTTCTTTAATCCATGCTTATTGTCAGAAAAAAATCAACAAGGCTATAAGGGTATTCCTTCCTGGTGATGCCATATTGTGACACCAGTCAGATTGGTGATACAAATAGTGTTGATAGCAATATCATGGTTAAGTGAGCATAATGAACAGACTGAAATCTGATTAATATCAAGTGAACAAATTGACGTCAATTGGTAAACAGATGGAGAACGTGGCCCTTTTCTCAACAAAAGACTATATTTTGTTCAGTTAACATGCGAAAAATTGATTTAGAGAATTTGACAACAGAAACAGTATAATAACAAAGGGTGAAAAGTTACTGCAAAACTGAGATAGAATTTTTACATGTTATCTTATAAACTATCAGAATCATAAAACTCCATAACACTTTCGGTGCCAAGTTTCTAAGTAGATGGATACATTTATTGCTTTCAAGTTTCGAGATCTATTAAATTATTCAAGAGATTTTTAGGATAAAAAATATTAACAATTTCTCGTACTCAAGATTCAAGTTGTTCAAAATTGTGCTGACATATTAATTTCTATTCAACATTTAAAGGAACATGTCTATAAAATTCTTGCATCTTTTGAATCTTTGACATGACAAATGATAAATAGATCTCTGATTCAATTGAAGAAATTATAAATAGGCTATCTTAATTTTTTATGTGTATTGGAGATACTGACAGCATTAATTTGCACCATTCCGATTTTCAGACAAATGTCTGTGGTTCCTGCAATTCCACTAAAGCTAAGTGTTTGATTAATCATTAAGGACCTTATGTGATAAAGCATAATTTGGTATTAGTGTCGTCATAAAAAAATTTACTTTAAGTGGAATTGCAGGAACCCTAGTCAGATTGAAAAGGGGAATGGTGTAAATTGATGCTATCAGTTTCCCTGAAAAATTTAGAAAACCTCTTTACAATCCCTTTTATTAATACACAGTTTCATCTTTTTACCTGTTCCTTAATACAACTTTAAGCCTGCCACAGACGAGAGGAACTGGCTGAGCAACATTCTCATTACTTATTTCACCGCAGACAAGAGCTCTCATCTGAGCTATTGTCTCACTAAAAAATCCTCGACGAATTCCGTATGCCAATGAAAACAACCGAAGAACGTTCAGACTGCATCCATCTCAAGTAAGTGATCAAAATGGCCCTATTTTCCTGCTTTGGAATTCTGCAGAAAAAACAGTTTATAGACATGGATAGTCTTGTCACGTTGATCTTCTAAAATTGCATCATTAATAGTTACCAAAATGATACCACATGATCCGTCAACACTTTCTATTGGTTAGCTACTTTTTCTAGCTCAGCTGGCAGCTTAGACGGCTGCACACTGAGAATTTCTGCCCTCTTGAGGCAGAAAATATCAAACAAGACAGATCTTTTCCTCACAGCCTCTCGAGGCAGAAATCTCACTAAACATTCAGCGCACACAAGGGAAACAGCTGAAGTTCCAATCTCTTGAGGCAGGCAAATCAGCTAGTTCCTCTCGTCTGCGGCATGCTTTAACTGTTTATATGAAGTCATTTTTAAGACAATGGTGAAGGCATAGAGATAGATAGATGTAACTTGTAATATGAAGTTATTATAAAGGGAATCTCTGATGGTGAAGGTATTAGGATAGATATAAATGATAATAAGGAGTTATTATAAAGGGAATCTCTGATGGTGAAGGTATAAAGATAGACATAACTAGTAATAAGGAGTTATTATAAAGGAAATCTCTGATGGTGAAGGTATTAAGATAGATATAACTGGTAATAAGGAGTTATCATAAAGGAAATCTCTGATGGTGAAGGTATAAAGATAGATATAACTAGTAATAAGGAGATATCAAAAGGGAATCTCTGATCGTGTAATTATAAAGATAGATGTGACTGGTAATAAGAAATTATTATAAAGGAAGTCAGTCATGGTGAAGGTATAAAGATAGTTACAACTGGTTATGAGGAGTAATAATAAAGAAATCAGCAATGGTGTAGGTATAAAGATAGATGTAACAGGTTATAAGGAGTAATTATAAAGGAAATCCACAATGGTGAAGGTATAAAGATAGATATAACTGGTTATATGGAGTAATAATAAAGAAATCAGCAATGGTGTAGGTATAAAGATAGATGTAACAGGTTATAAGGAGTAATTATAAAGGAAATCAACAATGGTGAAGGTATAAAGATAGTTACAACTGGTTATAAGGAGTAATAATAAAGAAATCAGCAATGGTGTAGGTATAGAGATAGATGTAACTGGTTATAAGAAGTAATTATAAAGGAAATCAACAATGGTGAAGGTATAAAGATAGTTACAACTGGTTATATGGAGTAATAATAAAGAAATCAGCAATGGTGTAGGTATAAAGATAGATGTAACAGGTTATAAGGAGTAATTATAAAGGAAATCAACAATGGTGAAGGTATAAAGATAGTTGCAACTGGTTATAAGGAGTAATAATAAAGAAATCAACAATGGTGAAGGTATAAAGCTAGTTACAACTGGTTATATGGAGTAATAATAAAGAAATCAACAATGGTGAAGGTATAAAGATAGTTGCAACTGGTTATAAGGAGTAATAATAAAGAAATCAGCAATAGTGTAGGTATTAAGATAGATGTAACAGGTTATAAGGAGTAATTATAAAGGAAATCAACAATGGTGAAGGTATAAAGATAGTTACAACTGGTTATAAGGAGTAATAATAAAGAAATCAGCAATGGTGTAGGTATAGAGATAGATGTAACTGGTTATAAGAAGTAATTATAAAGGAAATCAACAATGGTGTAGGTATAGAGATAGATGTAACTGGTTATAAGAAGTAATTATAAAGGAAATCAACAATGGTGAAGGTATAAAGATAGTTACAACTGGTTATAAGGAGTAATAATAAAGAAATCAGCAATGGTGTAGGTATAGAGATAGATGTAACTGGTTATAAGGAGTAATTATAAAGGAAATCAACAATGGTGAAGGTATAAAGATAGTTACAACTGGTTATAAGGAGTAATAATAAAGAAATCAGCAATGGTGTAGATATAGAGATAGATATAACAGGTAATAAGGAGTAATGGTGAAGGTATAAAGTTAGAAAATAAGGAGTTATTATAAAGGGAATCTCTGATGGTGAAGGTATAAAGATATAACCCTGATAAATCTGCCCTACCCAGTTCCTGAAACTTGATATTAAGATGGGATATCAGAACTAGGTTTAGTGAAAATTCTCAAAAACAAGCAACCCAAAAATTGGTCACTACAACTCCAATGAAAATTAACATTATATATCTGGCCCTAAACCCTGTTCTGATATCCCATCACATCAGAGGAACTGGGTAGGGCCATATTTGTCGGGTTTGTATAGATGTTGTATAGATTGGTGTAAGTGGTGAAATCAGTGATTATATCTGTAATTGGGTAGAGTAGTGAACAGTAGTCAGATTGGATTACAATCATTATAAAGAATAAGGTTGTAGAGAAGAGGTTAAGGCGACCTATTATCATCAGTCTATTTTTACAGCAGACAATCTTTCAACCTTATTTCCTGTCAGACGTATTTTATCAAGCTAAAGGTGAATATTATTGGTCTAAATGATGTAGTTTATCATTACTCTTTGCCTTTTATACATATAATTGATACATGTCTTGCAGAAGATTTCAAATAGTATCATTTTAGCTTCAAAAGGTTGATATAAAATTAGACAGAGTTTCAACTGACAGCATACTGCTGCTGCTATAGGTTATATAAAAGTAGCCTGTATTTCCATGTTAAATGATTACAGGTTTATTTTTAGTTATTTTGATTTAGTAAAATCAAAATTGCCTAAAAGTTTGGTTGTGTAATGTTTTATTAGTGGTTACATCATTATAATGTCTCATTCAAGTAGAAAATACTATTCACTGTCGACAAAACATGTCTTTAAAGAATGATTAATCAAAAGAATTATTTATATTTCTGCCATAATCTGTGGCGACAAGCACATCTTAAAAAAGATAATAAATGCTTTTCAATTTCGTTACATTTTGATTAAGACTTTGACAATGAATAAATTAGAAACCATTCAATAAACAGTTTTCGAAATTGTGAAAAAACCTCAATATCTGTATACATATTTATTTTTGGTATACATGTACGAAATGTAATTAAAGGGAGATAAATCATTTGAATCCTAAGTTTCCAGAAAATCTTATTTTCAGCTACATTAGCATCTATTAAGGTTAAGATATTGTGCCACAATTAAAATATATCCCCATAACAAAAAACAGGCTGACTTTTCTGAATCCTTTCCTGACAATGAAAACCACTGAATTATTCTTACAAACAAGGGTTCGTGTTATGATGACAATATGTGAGTAATATTACTTGTATCATATTTTAATGACTTTCAAAGCTTATGGACAAAAAAATGCAAAAATCTACTTACTGCAACCAATTTCATCTGAATTATCAATACAGTCAATTTGACCATCACATCTATATGATCCCTCGACACAATCACCACTAGCACATCTAAACTCTGTTGGTTTACATTGTTGAACTTTATCTATAATATAAGTACGTACATGTATGTATAAATTCTGTTTTAAACTATCAATTTTATCTAACCATTACATTCTAATAGTGATATCAAACGACTAAAGTTACAGCAGCTTAACTATCGACAATTTTTTGAGTCTGGTTTACTGTTAATGTATACAGGAAAATGCAAGTAGAAACTCACCTGGATCGACTGTGTTAGGGTAGTTCATAACAGCTCGAATACCAAATGTAGAATTTACTAATGTAGTAACAACTCTGTTGATATCAAATGGTTGCCCTTCTTGTACCATATCATCAAAAAATTCAACTTCATAGACTTGATATAACTCATTTTCAACAACTGAATCATCTCCAAGAATACCACTACCAATAACATTCTCTGATGTTCTTCGTGGATAGAAAATACCAATAAAATCTCCTGGATTAACATCAATTGGTAATGGTAAACGAACAATAGTTGGTCCCACAGGAGCAGACGGTAATAATGTTTTACGCATTAATGTAAATTCACCATCAGATGTTTGTTTCCATACACCAACATACACATCACCTTCTCGAATTCTATTATATTCCCAAGCAACAACATATCCTTGACATGGGAAGGCATTATTAATTAAAAGTCTAGCATTATTATTCCCCGCTCTTGTTAATTTGACACCTTGTGAACCAACATGTTCTGGACAAACAGCAGCTCCTAAAAGAAGAAAAATACAGAAATCATCTCTTGAAATAACTGGCAAATGCACTTTTCTTCCTTAACTTTTAGTAAAATCTATCTGAATGGATGGTTATGGTATTGTCAGAGATATGTATGTCTAACTAAAATCATATATTCATCTCCAAGTGATATTGACCCTTCGTGATTAAGTAATGTATCTGAAATGTCTGTAAGTCATAAAAGTTCAGGTTCAACATTATATTCATGGATCATTGAATTTATAACACTACCATCACAATGTGATATTTCTCCACAGGCATTTAGTAGCTTTAATACATTACCTCCTAATCTGCTGAATGAAAAATCTTCAGGCGTAACTTCATATTGACCGATAAAACCAGTTCTTATAGCTTCCTCTAAAATACGCCGTAATTCTTCTTCATCGGCAAATCCTTCTGATCCTAAATCTAATGTCACCTCTACTGACCCTTTACTATAAATGAAATATATCACATATCAACTGTTTATACTAATCTGGTCTCATAACCATCAAGAAGTAATGTAGATTGTAGATTTTTGCAAGTGTGATGATGATGTCATTGGTTAGGGTATAACAACCTCGCGATTATAGGTTTTAATGTCTAGACTAAGAATATCACAAATCTATCTTCTGCTAATATCTTTGATTTTGATTTGCATGCATTTTACATCTGGACATAAAGATTACTGTGTAAAAAAAGTATATATACGTTACTGGCCATGTAAGGGATTGTAAGCTAATCCATATTCATAGAATATCTTATAGATAACTGAGGCCATTCCAATTGCAAGGGTAACATGTATGGGTGTATTTGAAGCTAAAGCCAGAAAATATATTTGCCATTCAAATAAAGCCCCTCTGTATTCTGACATCTACATAATGATTCCTAAACTATCATTGATAAAATGATGTCCATAACCTAAGATGTGAATAATGATTGAATGGTATCGAGATCATAATATCTCATTACAACCAAAGGATTAAAATGCAGATCTAATTATTTTTTTTCTGTACTCTGGACTGTACTTGCCTTCCATGTTTGGATAAAATTGTGATGCATCATTTCTAGGTTTTTAAAATATGGAACCAAGATGCTCTCTTTTATAGAAGATTTACCAGACTAGATGTTAGGGGTTCTGAGATTATTTTATTTATAATCATGCCCAGTATTAACAGTGTTTTGATTAGTTAAACCATGACAATTTTTGATGCTTTAAGAAAGAAGAATTTAAACAATAATTTCAGTAGTTCATGGCAAAACATAGAGATCTTCATTTCAATCAGATTTGTCAACAATCAGAAAATTTTACAAAGATGGGTTTCCACATTTAATTTCATATTAATATCATGAGATGAAAAAAAAATATCACAATCTTTTTTTGAGGGCTAAAGTGGAGTATGTAGTAACACATGATGGTTCATGATGTTTATTTTGTGTTTTTGAATGAATAGAAGTAGTAAGTATTTCTGTCTTCTATTGAACCAGGATGTAAGTCAACAAATACTTACATCATGGTCTAATATGAAACACGTGGAAACTCAACTTTAAAACAAAACGAATTTGCTACACCGCAACATATTTTTAAGCAGAATAAATAAATGCCAAAGACACTGTGTAATAAAAGCTATATTTTATAAGTAACCAACACAGTTCTTGACAAATGAGTAAATACAGATATAATTTAGTTTTAATCTTACATTGTCATAGGCAATTCTCTCAATGCTCTGATATGAAAAATAATAATTCATTGTGAACTTTGAGACACTTTTTAACATAATTCTGTAGATATGTCCTTCTTAAACATAGCAATTGATACATAAAGTTGAAAGAAGTTTTTGGAGTATCATATTATTGATATCACCCCTGGGATACTTTGATTAGCAGAGTTTGAACACACAGATAGGTCTAAAACTAGACAGCTGATTGTCAAACTAACTAAATTCATAATGCTGGGAATGATCTAGCTACCTTCATTTTTAAGGCATTTTACAACTCTCCTAAATCCCATGCTTCTATGGGGGGGGCAAAAAAAAAAATTTTAAATGGGGATTTTCACTGAGCCCCATTTCTGATAGGGAAACATTCCCTACCAACTATCTACCAGTATGAATATATTTAGGTATTTTGTATCTGATATTTTCGCCCATGTATCCAACATTTCATGGACTATTTTCAGATTCTACACTGAACAATTAATTTATAATAAAACAGAACCATACTTACTTAAAAAATAAAACAGTAGCTAATTGATCACCAGGTACATTACGGAATAAATTTTGTATAGCTAATTCTATACTTCTTGCTAAGTTTCTAAATTGATCGCTATATCTATCTCCTAATTCATTGGTATATTCTAAATTGGTAAACTTTAATTTTACTCTAAAATACACTGAAATACAAATTAGTATTATAATTAGACAATTTATACCAACAAAAACTATATGTTAAATTAGCATGCATCGTTTTAGCAGAAAGACAGATTACTTAAAGACTCTAGTGATCTCAATCTTTAAAGATAGCATTTTCCATGCAGAACCAAGCACACAAGGTAACTCATCAAAATGGTTCAGTACACAAGATCCAGAAGCTATTAACTAACAACAAATCCAGAATTTGAGAAAGACAGCTATTTTAATGGTTAATAAAGCTAGCTTTATCATCTTATATTAAGAGCTTGTGCTATTTTGTAAAGAATAATTAAAACCTGTTTTTTTTTGGTTTTTTTTGTCATATTTGTTTTTGGGTAATGATATTGGAAATGGAGGGGAGGTCAACACTTTTGGGCTAACTGAAAGCTCCAACAGAAATTTTCTTGCTCTTTGAAACCAAGGATCTAGACAACAAAGAGTTAGTACAGATTAATCCAACTGTATGAATATCTAGACAAAGAATGAAGGCTAAGGCGACTATCAAGGTCAGGCCACAGGTATATTATTTACAACAGAACTTTTATATAAATATCTTAGTTGCATTCCACTCAGCTTGTTACCTGTCATTTTTACCTTTAAATAACTATCATTCATATTGTTATTACAATGACCTACGACACACTATCTCTGAATATATCCATACTAACAATGTTATTCTATACATCTAACATACACCTTTTGACATGGCTACAAACTGGTCACATTTTGTATAAAGAATAATAAGAATGGTGTGGTAGGACCACAGTTTTACTGTTTGAAATAAATTTATTTAGCCCATTGATAAAGAGTCAATGGCATTATGTTATGGTAGAGCAGTTACTAACAGTTAGTGATAACTACCTATGATACACTTGAATTCATGTTAATCACCAACGATCTGTAGTGTAAGATCTAGACAAAGATCTAGACTATATTCTAAAATCAGTGTGATTTATTATGAAAGGAGGTAGATGAATAAATATGATGAGTGTTGATCTGGTACAGGCTGGTACAAAACTAGACCAACTCATGTACTTCATGATGGATGAGATATACTGAGGCAAAGAATATATAATTAACATTTTCTTGTAGACATCAACCTAGATGTCTTTCTTTAAAGCAGAAATTTATATAAATGTTTTAGAGCTTTCTGATGAACTGGATTACAACAATTAAATCCGTTTATAGCGATAATCAGAAATAAAAACATGAGGTGAAGACTTGGCACACAAACATTTCTAGAATGATTTCATTGGTCTGTTAAATTCAGAAATTACAGAAGGACTATTTTTAAGTGACATTTAAGGATCTGTGTTAAAGGGACAGATTCCAATCATAGTTTCAGAAACAGGAATGTTTTAGCTAAACTACTCAGGAATTTATTAGTGTTCACAGCTCACCGTCGAAATTTGGGTTCACTGTCATTTAGGCACAAATATTTTAAGCACAAGTCAGTTAGACACAGTGCTTAAGGCACACTTCTTAAAGACACATTTTCATTTGGGCACAGGTGTTATTTAGGTACAGTGTATTTGGCACACCTTCGATTACCGGTAAGCATATATTCACTCAGACACACACTGTTTAGGAACACTTATATTCGGCACAATGTCATTTAGCATATTGATTTAGGCACATCTTTAATTAATCACATATTAGAATGTTAAAATGAGGATTCCTCCTTCTGTCATACATTGACAGATATAGAAAACTTCTAGTTGGATGTATATTTGAAGGGATTATACGCTTTTTGTCCATTTTTAGTACCTCTGAAGACCCCAACCAAAAATGACGAACTATGGCCTTTAATACAATTTTTTTTATGAAAACTTGACATGCTGACACCTCAAATTAACCTTATATAATCTACAAGTAACGGATATTACTACTCT